ATTTCACGTTTTCCTGTGAGCTCTCAGCATTCATTTCCAGCTCCTAGAAAACAGGCACTTATGGAGAAGCTGAGACAGAACGATTTGAAACGAGCATTTGCAGCACCCCAACAGAGGGTAGCCAATAAAAATACCCTGTAGGAATGCTGGGTGGGCTGTACCTGCTTTTACTAGAAACCTAAGAAGCCTTTCTATTCTAACATTGCCAAAACATACTTTCTGTCAATAGGTTATTACTGAATTTGAAATTGGATCTGGGTGAGGGAAAAATGAGGCCTACGAAAAGAAGAACGGTGACTTAAAGCAGTGGAAGCATTGTTTGAAGGGAAGGTGTTGCAGAGCTTCCAGCCCTCAGGGCCAGAAATGGGAGAGGACTGCACTGACAGCTCTTTGATCTCACTGTCTTCCATTCTCCATGACTAGTCAGGAAACTGGCTTTGATTGCTTTTTGGGTTTTTCACTACACTGGCTGGGTATTTTACTACACTTTTGCTGTCTTCAGATATAACCTTCACGCTGCTTTGCTAATGATACACACAAAGCAACAAAGGTTATGAATTCTACTGCAAAGACTGTGATTCCTAGAATAGCCCCTTACATTATATTGCAGTGTAATGGTTTCCTGACAGCAGTCGCTCACTCTGTAGCCTTTATTATCTTCTTACTGTTTACTCACAAACCACTGTGCTACAGAATGGAAACCGAGATGTTGCTGACCAGTCTCTGAGTTAATCCACCATCCCTGACTGTTAGGAGCAGTGTTACACAGTTTAATAGCTATCAAGTCCTTCTTAAAAAGAAAACGTTCAGCTGTGGGCAAAGTCACTTGGAATGTTTTTGTGTCTGTATGGAAGAGTGTTTCCAGAGTAAAGAAAAGGCCCATTTTTGGTCATACGCTGCAGTACCTGGCAAATTCCAGGGAATGTGAGCTACGGGGGAATACTTAGGGGAATCAACCCTTTGAAAAGGCTGATAGCTGCAGGACAAGGGGAAATGGTTTCAAGTTGAGGGAAGGGAGATTTAGGTTGGATGCCAGGGGAAATTCTTTACAGAGAGAGCGGTGAGGTGCTGGAACAGCTGCCCAGAGAGGCTGTGATGCCCCGTCCATCCCTGGAGGTGTTCAAGGCCAGGTTGGATGGGGCCCTGGGCAGCCTGGGCTGGTATTACATATGGAGGTTGGTGGTCCTGCATGTGGGAGGGGGGTTGGAAATTCATGATCCTTGAGGTCCCTTCCAACCCTGGCCATTCTGTGATTCTGTACGTACCGTGCAAATAAGGCACAGTTAAACTGGGAATATCTGTTTGTTGAGTGTATCTCCGAGAGAAGCACGTGTCTGCCGTGACCTGTGGAGCAATCTGTTGCCCATCTGGCATCTTTCAGACAAGATGGGCACTGCTGGGATGTGATTTGATCGCCCTGAAGTCTGATCCTATATTACTGCCATTCCTCAGTGCTTGGAGAACTCAAGCCCAATCAAGATCTCTCTGGTATTAAAATGAGCTTAGCTGTTAATTGGGAAGAATTACCATGCCACAGTACTTGCCTCAACAAAATGTCAGCTGAGTTATTCTGATGGCTAAGCAGTGTGTTGTCCAAGTGGGAGGGACATGCAGTAGAGGTGATGCTGTAGCTGCCAAGGGCAATGATGAAGATTCTGTTCCATCAGAGTGCTGCTGGTATCAGTTGCTCGTTGTGCTGTGCTAGGTTGGGAATTTGATATGAAGTTCCATTGTTTCTTAATGATCCGTGCAGTTATTGCATGAATGTTACACTGAGACTGCCAGATGCATTCAGATTTGTAAGAAATAAGGCAAAAGGAACTTCTTTTGGCATGTTTGTTGTATTCTAGAGGTAATTAATTTGGAAATGTGAGATAAACATTGGAGCTCCATTGCTGATGGCGCATCTGTGTGATCATTACAGAACTAATATTGTTGACATGTGAATCTACATCTTTGGGTTTTGAGATTTTAGGTTCCAAATGAAACAAAAGGAGCAGCAGGAGGTGGCAGCTATGGGGAGAGCACAGACTGAAGAGAATGGTATTGCTTTTGAGCATTAACAAAGCACTGCTTGAAGTGATGCTAGCAGTGAGGATTTTAATGTGAACACGGACTTTGCAGCTAGTGATGGATTCCAGACACCTGCTGTAGGAAAATGATTTAGTTTTGGGTTGTAGAAAACAGTTTGGATTTCTCTTTCATGTAAGAAATCCATTTTCTGAAGAGCTTACAGATACATTCCCAGTATCCCCCATATTCAGATATCCAGCAGATTTTAAAAACTTTGGCTTTTATCTGCACAGATCAGAGCCTGTTTGTACATTTGAACCTGGACACTTACATCCGACCACATCCTTAATTCTGCATGGGTGTTTGTGCCACAGTTCTCTTCAGTGCTCTCCTCCTGTTAAAAAAAAGAGGGGGGGAGGAGAGGGGAGACAAAAAGAAGGCTCAAAGCTACAGAAATGTGGTAAGTTAATCTCCAGCTTAGAAGAGCCGCAAAAGCCACTCCTGTGGACAGGCCATTATTCTTAATTAACAGAGAATTTAGTGAGCTACAAATGAATTACTACAAAGTGGCTTAGCTGTAATAGCATCAATCCAGCAATGAAACCAAAGCTGTACTTACAGGTCGCTCTAGTTTTCCACAGTGTTTAAATAGTGTTTTGGTTTTTTTGCTTATGCAGCAGTTCTGAAACTTCATGGAAGCGCATTGGAAAACCAAAGACTGCTCAGAGTGCAGAGCATCTCATCATCATCGTGTAGTTCTTGTTTTGAAAGCAACAGAAAGTGAGTAGCTATACTGATAGAAACACATGTGTGCTGTGCCTGCGTGTGGAAGGATGGTCTGTAATCAAGAGGAAATCCTCTAAGGAAAATACATGTTGGATCACCGTCCTCCTCCTGTGCTGGGTGCAGTGCTGCTGTTACCACTTGCATTGCGTGGTTCTTGCTCAGCACCACCCTCCTGATGAGCTTTCTCATTCCTGCAGATGCAGCAGCAGAAGCTCATTAGAAGAGGGTTCCCCGAGCAATGTCAGTTCTCATGGTGAGGGTAGGAGTGGTAGAACTAGTAGCAGGCACAAAGACAAAGCTGGGAGCTACAACGGCTGGTCTGAAGGAGCGCTGGCCAAAACCAGCTGCATGGGTAGAGGGAGGCTGTGCCATCAGCCTGGGCTTGATTCTTTGGCAGGAACCATGTAGTGAAATGGGAGATTTCCTGAGGGCAGAAAATTAACTTATGAAATTTGTGAACTTGAGAACAGGTTGAGGGAACTGGGCTTGTTTAGCTTGGAAAAGAGAAGGCTCCAGGGAGACCTCACTGTGGCCTTCCAGTGCTTGAAGGGAGCGGATAAACAGGAGGGGGAACGGATGTTTGTGAGGGTGGATGGTGATAGGACAAGGGGAATGGTTTTAAACTGAGACAGGGGAGGTTTAGGTTGGATACGAGGAGGAAGTTTTTCAGCCAGAGGGTGGTGAGGCACTGGCACAGGCTGCCCAAGGAGGCTGTGGATGCCCCATCCCTGCAGGCATCCAAGGCCAGGCTGGATGTGGCTCTGGGCAGCCTGGGCTGCTGGTTGGTGATCTGCACACAGCAGGAGTTGGAACTGGATGCTCCTTTTCAACCCAGGCCATTCTGATTCTATAATTAGTCCACCTGTGCAACAGCAATGACTTGCAGACAGAAAGAAATGAGAATGCTGCGAGGAGAAGAAAAAAGAAATACATAAAAAGAAATACAGCTGTAAAATACAAACTTTTGAATATGTATCACTAAGCAAGAAAAATTGTTGTGTGTTCCTGGAGCTATTTAGTTTTAGTTCAGTTTTATTTCTGCCATTAATACTGAACTGTTGATTCCTGAAATGCTTATTCTAGCAGTGCACCACAGCTGGGAATGAGTTGCACTTAGGCTGCAGGGCACCCATCAAATGGAGACAACAGCAGCTTCTCAGAAGGTAATTGTTACAGGTGTGATTAATTACCAGCAACATGCAGGTGAACCAGCATGTCCACCTTCAAACTGTAAGAATGTGGTAATTAATTACTCTGCTTTCACAGCTTCATTAGCTTCACTGAACCGTACGATGTTTGGGCATATCTGTAATTTCTACTCTTAATTGCTTCACCTGGTGAGTGTTTCTGAGGAGGTGGTTCATCTTCTGTTCTGAGTAATTTACATCTCCTAATCTGTGACATGATTTGGATAGGTTTAGAGAAGGCAGTTTTTAGTACGGCTTCCTCAGTGCTGTAGCTTGAATTACTTTGTAACTACTCACTGCCTCTTCAGTCATTAGTTTCTATGTATTTTCCAGGGGTAATGTCATAGGTTGTGTTATTAATGGTTTATACATCCTTAGGCACGAGTTATCTGTACCTCAGCCAACACTCACCAGCCTCACCGGGCTCTTTAGACCAGCTCTCACCCAAATCATTTGTCAGGATGGATTTCCCTGCTTCTGCTTCGAGTAGGAAGGCGATGCTAACAGCACTCGGAGGGCTGACCCTGGCTCTAAATACGTGAATGCTTTGCCACAAACAGTATGGGCACAATTAGGCCCTCTTGATAAGGACATGCTCACATACACCCGTTCTGACTCAAACTGTGTTTCCAGTTTCCTTTTGAAGACTGTTTTTCAGGCTTGGCTTTTCTTTCGCCCTCTCGTTGTGGTCAGACCCATTTCTAAAATCGGACACATCAATCTGTTCTTCATTCCTTTATCAAACTGATGACAACGTTAAAAAAAAAAAAAGCCTAAATTTACTCGCAAGTGTAACTCGTCTAAGAAGAGACGAATTTAAGAGAACTACGTCTGTATTTTACCAAGCGTGGCCTCAATACCGTGCCTCGTTCGTACAGATGCGCGCTTTGTGGAAGCGGAGCTCACCGAGCGGCTCGCGGAGCGCAGCCCGCTGCTGGCACCTGGCTGCCACGTGCCCCGAGGGAGGGATTTCTGCCGCCAGGGCAGCTCCCGGGCGTTGCTTTCCTCCTCGGGATGCTCCGCCGTTTGCTCGGGGCGCTTCTGCTGCGAGGAACGCGAACCCTCCGCCTTCCGTCCGCAGAAGCGAACCGCTGGCGGGGCGCGCTGCTCCACTCCGCATCAGCGCCATTTCTGCAGCAGCGGGGCTCGGGGGGCGGCTCGGCTTCTTCCCTCCCCCCGCCTTGGGGCAGGCCGAGGGCGGCGGGGCGGGGCCGGGCCCGGCCGTTCGTCGCGCCCCGCGGTTCCCCTCCGCCCACCGCCGCGCTCCCCCCGCTCGGCCGGGCGGCTCTGCAAGATGGCGGCGGCAGCCGAGCGCGGAGCGGGGCTGCCCGCCGAGCCGCCGCCTCCACCGCTGCGCGGGGTTCGGCCGCCGCCGCCGGGCCCCGAGGAGGCGGCGAGGCGGCTGGCGGTCACCCGGCGGGAGCTGAGCAACCGGCGCAAGATCCTGCTAAGGAACCTGCCGGCCGAGAGCAGCAGCCAGGTACGGCCGCCTCCAGCAGCCGGGCGGGAAGCCGAAGGGCTGCTGCCGCGCTCCGCCGCCGTAACAAAGAGCAGCCCCGAGGCTCCGCTCGGGTTCTCCCGCCGCTTTGTCGCCGTCCGGGGCGGCGGCTCGGGGCGGCTCCGGGAGCCGCATCGCTGCGAGCGGGCGGGATGGGCGCGGGGCTGCGCCGGGAGGCAGCGTCGGAGCGCATCGCGCGTGTGGCGGTGCGGGGGGGCGGCCGGCGGGGGAGGCTTCCCGGAGCCGGAAAGTTCCGCTCCGATTATTTGCGCTTTGTGGAACGACGGCCAGCTCTTAAACCGCTGCTGCGAGCGGGGCTGCGCCTCAGCACCTGCAGCGGCCGGGCGGCACCGCTCGGAACCGCGCTGCGGCACGGGCTGTCCTCCTCCCGGCACGGGCTGCCCTCCCTTCGGCTGAGGGCGGCAGCGGCTCGCGGGTTTCTCGGTCCCTTCGTTTTGGTGACCGTCTGCCGAAGATCGGCGCACCGCAGCCCGGAGCGCTCCCCGGGGCTCCGCTTCTGGTGCCTTTGGGTTGGAGGCAATGGCAGGTGTGGAAATAAGGATTTCGCATGGTGCTGTGTGATGATTTACACGTAGAGCCTCGCCTCTATTTATAGCAGCCCGAGGGGCTCGCCTGTAGAAAAGGCTCGGGAGCTCGCAGCTTGAGAAACCCTGCTAATCCCTATCGTCTCCTCGAGAAGCCGTCGGAGCCGGCAGGGAGCTTACCGCCGTGAGCCGGGCTGGGCACACTGCTGTGTTGCACATCCCCACATAGCATCACCAGGTTGGGTTGGGATGGAGCCCCGAGTCCATCTAACCCCACTGCTGCCACAGGTGTGTGCCCCACCAGGTGAGGCTGCTCAGGGCATCACACATCTCCAGGGATGGGGCACCAACAGCTCACCTGTGCTCTGGTGAAGAAATGCAGCTCGTGTGCATGGAAGCCATCATGGTGCACATTGCTGGTCACACTCTCCCAAGGGAACAATGGTGTGAAGGTCCAGTTTGGCAACCAGGCAACATTTGGGAAGCTTGGAGTTTTGTTTTGGTTACTTGAAATTAGTGCTGAGAAAAGAAGCTTCTGTCCTGGGGCATCTTAAGTACATCCCTGTCCTTGGCTGTTTGTGTTTCCAAAGCCTAATATTGCTTGAGTCGAACTTGAATCATGGCATTAGGTGCCATGTGGAGGGCTCTACTGTGCTTTTTGCTTCTTGCATAGCCAAGTAGAATGAGATAAAATACTGCTGCCCTGGCCGGTTGGTTCTGCAACATGGATGGGGTGAATGTCATGAAAATGCAGTCAGGTGTTCCAGAATGGGATTTCATAACTGCAATTATTCATCTCCAGTCAGTAGGATGTGGGGTTTGCTGTCACCGTGTGAAAGGTAAGGCTGAGATTTACCAAAATAGATTCCAAGTGTGAAAAAAACTCTTTTGCTGGTGTGGATACGATTGGTGGAGAAGCTGGCTCGTTATCTTCAGAACTACAACAGTGCTCTGATTTTTTTTCAGGGGAAGTTAGATGAGCGCGATCTTGTGCCAACTGTAGCTACATATTCACTTCCTTATTCGTTTATTATTGTACTTTCAATTTTATGTTACCTCTGGAGTTTTGTGGGAGTGAAACAGTTAAAAGTAATAAAATTACTCTTCAAGCTGCTGAGCAACGTGCCTTCACTGTCAGGTTTCTGACTGGGAAGCAGATTTCCACGGATGTGATGGCTGGGAGATCAGACAGATAGATCTGGAGGCTCAGGGTGGCTGTCCTGAGGGATAAAGGCTGTGTGCCAGTCAGTGGGATTTTCCCCAGCAGCGCAGCTTGGGATGTGCAGGACCTGCGCTCAGGAGGAGGGCAGCCTGATGAAGGCATTGCAGCCTGCTGTACAACAAAGCTGTGGCAAGAAAAGCTGCGCTACAACTCTGTGTAGTTTTTGTTGTGCTTACCAGCTATTCTGTCTTCTCTCAGTCTGGTTTTCCTGCTTGGGAGAGGTGCAGTTTGGTAACAAGCCGTGCCATGGGGTCCCCAGGGATTGTTCTGATCTCAAGTTCAAATCTCAAGGTGTTGGGGCAGCAGAGGCTGCCAGTCCAGAGCACAGCTCTCCCTCCTTCCGCGGCCTTCTAGAGCATGCTCCACTGGCTTCTATTTCTTCCTGCAGTAGTAGGGAAGTGCTCTCGTCCCTTCACCTCCCTTTTAGGATGGCAGGCAGTAGGGAGGACCCAAGGAGTCGTGGCAGGGTGCTGGTGTGTGATGCTCTGTGTTAGGACAGGCAAGGTTATCCCACTGGGTCAGGCTTTTTGAAATGCCAATGGAGGGTCTGCCCTGGTGAGCATTGGTGTTAGTATTAGATGCAGCGTTGTGGTAGGACAGATGTTCCTATCAAGAATCTTTGTGAAGAAACTCCAAGGTAGGCTTTGCTATAGGTGCTTGTTCCCTGCTGCTCAGTGTTCGGTGCTCAGCTGGCACCTCGGGGTCGGGTGTTTCTCAGAACTGCGGTGTGTGCCTCTCCCTGAGCCATCAGCTGTGATGAATGGGCTAATGCACTTCAATAGCAAAAGCTGCAGTTGTAAAGGGAAGGTCCTTGGAGCTGTGCTCTGCTGCTCTGAGTGTCCTGGGTCAGAGGGGGACCTGTGGGGCAGCAGGAGGGAGGGAAGTGATCAGTGCTTCACTGGGGAAGAGATCCTGGTAGCTTCAGGGCGTGCAAGTGAAGGTGGGACATCACTAAATATGGGTAGTTTTGTTCTGTTGCAGTATCATAAGGTAAATCAGCTTTTGTGTATTTGGTTGTTTGTGATTATTCTGGTGGATTAGAAGAACTGTATTGGATTTCCCCAAGCCATTCATTTTTCAGAGTTGCTGGTTTGCCATCTATGTCTGATTAACTTCCACAGAAGCAGTAGCTGATAAATGAGATAGAAGCCTGTTAGGATCCCTTGGAACTGCTTCTAGAAGTAGCAGAATGGTTCTCTGTCTTCTCTGCTGGGGATTGATGGCCGAAAGGACCCTTTGCTCTTTGATTCCCTTTTTGCAGCTCAGGAACAATTGGTGTGGAATGAGGTTTCACCTGTTTTCGATCAGCTCTTAGCTGCACCTGGTTGTCTTTGAATGCAGCTGTGTTTTAGTGGTGTTTCTGCTTTTCTCCTTTAGTATCTGAGGACACAAAATGAAAGAGACGTTCTGCTTTAGTGCAGGATGTGATGTAAAGTGGGGCTGGTTAATTACTTTCATTCAAATACTTTCAGTCCTGTGCTTCTGCTATGGTATGATAGAATCTAAGAAGAGATAAAACATGTAGATATCGATAGGAAACTGACCTTGTCCACCCCAGACAGAGATTTGTGTTTTGGAGTGTGATGTTTTTCGTCTTTCCTTTAGCATCTATACATGGTGCTGTGCCCAGGATGATGGCATTCATTTCCAGTCCCATCGCATGCCTCTTATCAACACACCAGCACAAGTCCAGAAGATCAGAAAAATATCTTTTTCATTCCCTGCCCATCTCAAGTCTATGAAGAAGTTGCTCTTCTCTTGTCTGAATGACAATATTTATGCATATTAGAGCGTTAATGACCTTTGCATGGTCTGGTCTTACAGATGTGGAAGTCAGTCCTCAAACAAAAAGGCCGTTACTCCTTGTCCTATCACTACACCCCACTGAGAAGAGCCTGGCCGTATCCACGTGCATCCCACCTTCCTTTAGATATTTATAAGCGTTAATCAGATTCCCCCTCAGTCTTTTCCCCAGGTGAGCAGATCCAGGTTACTCAGCCTTTCCTCCTTTGTGGCCCTGCACTGGATCCCTTGCAAGAGATCCCTGATGATTTGACACAGGGAGCCCAGAACTGGGCACAGTATTCTAAAGGTGGCCTTTCCAGGGCAGAGTAGATGGGAGGATCACCTTCCTCACCCTGCTGGCCACACTCTTTTTGGTGCACCTCAAGGTAACACTGGCCTTCCAACGTAACATACTTCAACATAGTTTGTATGAGTTTAAATAACATACTTCAAAGTGTGTCCGGCCCATATTTACAAATACTTTCTCTTAAACCCCCTTGGATATACTTGGTTTTGCTTTTCCTGCCAATTCTGATTATTTTCTTATTAAGATTGTAGTTTTTCCCAATGCTTAGATTAACTAGCTTTAGAAAGTCCACCTGTAGGGAAATTGAAGGCTTAATGACAGCTGGGTGCCATGGGGCTGCCTCGCAGCTGGTGGTGCAGAGCTCCTGTGCCTGGGGACTGGCTGCCCCCTGCCCTGCTCACTGCTGGGATGTGGGACTGGGGCAAAATGCTTCCTTTGGGAACCCTGGGGTCTTTGGTGTGTATCATTAAGGGAAATTAAGGTGGAAATAGCCTCCATTCCGTTCTAGTTGAAAGACAGGATAAGATTTAGCGAAGTGCCTGAGACTCTGTTACGCTGGCCACAAGCTCTAAAGCTGGCTTAGTGCTTCTGAAAATATTATGAAGAATCTTAGGCTGTGTACTGATATCTAAATATCTGTTGAATTGGAAGGAGCACGTATTGGCATAAGGGTCAGCGTGGTGTGTTTTGTTTGTGGCTTGTCTCACGTGGTCCTGATGTGCAAAGTGCCTTTGCTGGAGTACTGCACAGAGCTCCGTCCTGGGAGGGAGAGCTGCTGTACCACCACGTGTGCACATCACCCCAAAATGCTGGCAGTGCTCTTTTAACATTCTTCAGCTTACTTTGGGTTCTCGTTTAAGATTGCATTACGTTCTTGTTGTTTTTAACATGAGAGCTCACAGTTATCCCGTGAAGCTGCAGGCTATTCTCCCTCGCAATTGTAATTTCAGACAGTTTTTGGGAAATCATCTAGCTCATGAAAGACTCACAGCGGTGTTGAGAGCTGTTTGAAATACTATTTCCTGGTGTTCATCCTCCATATAAAACTTTCCATGTTACTCCTGTAATAGAACTAAGAAGAGAGAAATACATCACCCTTTGTCTGAGCAGAACAGAAATACTTGCCATGCTGCCTTCAGTGCCCTGGTGGAGCTCACATGCACAAAACTTTGCACGTAATGCCATCTCTGCTCGTGGCTGAGTTGGGCTGCCCTCCAGTTGTCAGTGGGACAGCCAAGCCTCCCACCCACCATCATCAGTGCCTGCAGTCTGCCCAGCTCGTTTTGCTGATCAGAAACCATATCCTCACCACGTCTGATCAGGATGGCTGGTGGCTCGGGAAGTGCTCTCCTGTTTTATTAATGCAGAGCTTGACAGCTGTTAGCTGGTGAAACTAGAGACTGGCGTTCCCTGGACTAAAAGGTGTGCACCTGATAGCAGTCAGGAGAACCCAATTAACCTCCAGGGTGCGGGTATTGAATTAGTGTGCTGGAAGGCAAGGTGCTGTCCTGCCAATGGGCTGCAGTGAAGCTTTCAGACAATGTTTCTTGATTGTTTTGGTACTCAGCTGGCCTCCCTGCAATGTAGGAGACCCAATTGAAACAATAAACATGTCAAGATGCTGCTCGTTTGGGATGATTCATGTCCATCTCTGCATTCTTGCTGCTGAGCATGGTGTTTGTGGGGCATGTGAACTTCTTGCTCATGCTGGGGAGCAGTGAGATCAACCTAAGGCAGCTCTTAGGTCACTCTTACTCCCTTCTCCCTCTCCCCTGCTCTATCCCTGTTAATTTATGGGGGCAAACAGTGCCCTGGGGATTGGTTCCCCATTGGATGCCTGTGCAGTAATTGCCAGAGGATCCTTTACACACAGTGCTCTGGTCAGGATTCACTGCTGCTTGAAAGAATATTCATTATTAAGTGAGCAAAAAAAACTGCTGAAGTGAACTTGAGCAGTCAGAGGAAACTAAAGCAGCTGCTGCATTTTGTGACAGTGTTGTCTGCCCTTGGTAAACTGCACGATGTGATGTTGCTGATATCTCATGTCTGCCTGGAATTTCAACTGTAATAGCTGTACTTTTGAGAAAGTTGTTTGGTTTTTTTCTTTTTTTGCTATTTAATGAACTGTGATTTTATTTGTCTTTATCAGAAGGCAGCCAGCAGCGTGTCATCTTCTGCTTATGTGACTGTGCGAGGAAAAGAAAGTAAATCACATTCAGTAAGACAGTTCTTTGCAGGAGATGAAAACACTGCTGCATAGCGTGACCAGCTCTTTAGAAAACAAATATTTGATAGTGTTTCTATGGTGAGATTTTCTGTTTATTGGGAAAGTTTTGTTTAAAAAGAGAAGCTGAATTCGTGCAGTTATGCATTTAATCTGGTGAATTATTGAACTGATGTTACTTGTGCTTTTCTCTTTCAGGAAATCCATGACTTATTTAAAGATTATGAAATAAAGTATTGTTATGTGGACAGAAATAAAAGAACAGGTAAGAACTTGAAATCTTCCAGTATAACACATTTGAGGGTGCACTCAGTTCTGCTGTCGGTGTCACCAGCAGAGACATTAAATGGTGCCAGTCCCAGTACTGACCCCTGAGGGACACCACTTGTCACCTGTCTCAATCTGGACATCAATCTGTTGACCACAGCCCTTAGAGAGTGGCAGTCCAGCCTTAGCCATGAGTGATCCGTCCACCCAATCCATCTCTCTCTGGTATGGAGACAAAGATGCTGTGTGGGACAGTGTCAGATGCTGTGCACTGGTCCATATAGATGATACCAGTTGCTCTTCCCTTATCCACCAGCACTGTAATCCTGTTGTAGAAAGCTGCTAGGCACAGTTTGCCTGTATGCCCATCACTCTCTGTGGTGATGGATGTACTTGTTTAGTGTGAACTGCTTGTGTGAGGAGCTCCATTTGTATGTATGTGTTTATTTTTGTTAGATACGTGCTATGTCCTGTGGACCCAACTGGAACCTTGTGGAGCTCTGTAGACTTTCCCCATGAAATCTTCTGAGATCTCCCTCAGTGAAAACAAGACTTTCACAAGATTACAAAAGCTCATTTAAAATAACAGTAAACTCAGGGAAGCAGCCTTTAATGATCTCAGAACATTTGGAGGAAAAAAACCTAACGTTTTTAGCTCAAAAAGGCTAAGAGCAATTTTAAGATTTGTTGTCTTTTATCCATATCTTTTATGTAACTATTCCTAGAATACCAGATACTGTGCTGTTACAGAAATATGTGATGCTGTGTCAGAACACTGGCTTGCAGAGCAATGTAGATTGCCCAGGAATGTTTTAATCTCTTTGAGAGCCAAACTGCTGATTTCTACGCCACCTCCTCTTTATCTGATTACCAGTAGTGCAAATCATAAAACCCACTGCAAATGCATTGTTTGTCTGTTTGTTCAAGCTAACAGCTTCAGGAGATGTAACCACGTTCCCTTTGACTGACACATCTCAAGTATTGCATTTGGCACCAACGCTTCACTTGTGTCTTTTTCTTTGTAGACCGGAGCTACAGTCCAGATTAGAGCTTGCTTTAGAACACCCTATGAATGTTTACATTCTACTTAGAAATCTTCCTTCAGACCGTTGTAACTCCTGATTATTTAGACAGGGAAGCAAATATTAGCATTTCTGCCTCTGAACAGTGCCATCTCACAATTCATTTGGGGTTTTTTTTTATTCACAAGTGCGGCGATGATGGTAGGCGAAACAGTTGATTAATAGGTGATCTGGAATGAAAGATGTTTTCTGTTTAAAGAATAATCTTGCAACCAGAGCTTCCTGGAGTTGAATTTCAGGAAGCGGTTGTGTTTCAGTGCGGTGTGTTTTGCTGTGACTGGCAGAAATCTGCCTGTAGTCACAGTGTGGTCACGGATAGGAAAGGAGGCAGAAAATTTTACTTCAAATGCCGTCTTAAAGAGGAGGGAAAAAAAAAATAATTAAAAAGCATTGTCTAAATAACTGTGCAGGGAGATCTGATTTATGGCAGTGAATTCTGTGCTGCCCTGAGGTTTGGGATAGCTTTGTGTTTTTTTGGCTTGTGTTATTCTTACAAAAGTGATAATTGTGTAGTGAGGAGGAAAACGTTGTTTATACTCGTTTCTGGACAACAGACTCCAAATTTGGATATAGAATAAGAAAACATGGTGAGCACAGTTTTTGGGCTGTGGTTCCAGACAAGTTTCTTGGACTGAGCATTGTTGCTGCAGTTTCATCTCTTTCCTTTGGACCTTTCTGACTGGGCTCCTTGTTTTTTCCATGCTCATCATGAGTACACGCAGCAAACTGCAAATGGAAAAAGCTTCCTGCTCTGTCTCCAGGAGATGCAGGGAGGGTTGTGTTTGCTGAATGCGTTCAGGTGGCCCATGTCCCACCAGTGCAACATGGGTGCTAAGCAGGCTGCAGGGCTCCCCAGGCCACAGAACAGCCTGCAGCAAGAAGAGCTGTCCCGTGGTGTTTCTGCCCCCAGTGAATCTACTTCCAGGACTGTGGTGTTTCCTCGGTGTGGCACAGACACTTAAGGGTGGCATTTGAAGGGTTGAGAATGAAACCTGAGAGGAAAACGTGAATGGATAACCATTAATGCTGTCTGTGGGTTAACTTTCCCATTTCAATTCGTTTGCAGGCTAGAATGTTTTAAAACTGTGGAGCTCTTCACAAAGAAATTCATTCTAGACACATGTGCAGAATCAGCTTTTCATTTTATGCATCCAAAGGATGGGAAGTGTAAAATGTCCTCAGTCTCCAGCTGAGTGGTGAGGAGTGGGGGGATGGCAGCGTTGTGCTGTGTGGACCAGTCCACATCTGAGGCTGTGGCTATCAAAGGAAGGAGAAACGGCAGCCTGATTTTGGGGGCAGCCCCTGCTACCCTCCCAAGGGCTGTCCCAGCCTCATGCCCCAGCTCCCCATCCTCTGTTTCCTTCACAGCCAGTAGTTGGCCAACATGGACCATGTCATCATCCATCTTGGAACATCCATGCCAGTTGTCAAAGCAGGCAGAGCAGCCACCCTCCATTGCCACAGGTAGCCCTGCTTCTCTGCCCAGTGCTCCTCAGCCCCATGGTGAGGGGGCAGCCATCCTGGGCCAGCACCCAGCCCACTGCAATGTGACCACAACATCACCAGGCCTTATGCCCAGGGCCTGTACGTGGCTCATCCCATGGCTGCCCAGCAGAGAAGGGTGCTGACTCACAGGACAGGGGACAGGCAGGGACATCTCATCAGATCTGTCCTGTAGAGTGCTGGCACCTCTCCAGTAGAGTGATGAGGGAGAGGACAGAATTATGGCTTGCACTTGTGTTTTGTGTGGGCTTTCCTTAGAGGAGGTGGGCTGCAGTGGTTACTTTCAAAGTAAGAAATAATGTAACGTTCCTTGGTCTCTTTCAGCATTTGTTACTCTGTTAAATGGAGAACAGGCTCAAAATGCAATTCAGAAGTTTCACCAGTACTCTCTTCGAGGAAAAGAAATATCCGTGCAACTCCAGCCAACAGATGCTTTGCTGTGCATTACCAATTTGCCTATTTCATTTACTTTGGAAGAGTTTGAAGAACTCGTGCGTGCTTATGGCAATGTGGAGAGGTGTTTTTTGGTCTATAATGAAGTTACTGGTCATTCCAAGGGCTATGGCTTTGTGGAATATATGAAGAAGGACTCTGCTGCAAAGGCGAGACTGGAACTTCTGGGGAAGCAGTTAGATGAGAGCACTCTCTTTGCACAGTGGATGGATGTGAACCAGCTGACTACAAATCTAATTCACTCCAAGTGCCTTTGTGTAGATAAATTGCAAAAGGACTTCGCTGATTCGAAAGAACTGTTGCAGGCTTTCTCGCTGCAGTATAAACCTGTATTCTGCCAGGTATGTTGCATTTATACTTTTTGGAAGATGTAGGTTGTGATTTAAATAGCTCTGTGTTTGCATCCTGCACTGCTTGCTTGTCTTTCATTTTTTTCATTTAAGCTGTGAATGAGTGTGCATTGCAGTATGTTGTGTGGTACAGATGTCTTACTGGCGTGAGCTTGCATTGACTGGATGTGCCATCTGGGAGTTCTGCAGGAGACCACTCCTGTTAAGCACCGCTAAAATGTTTATAGCCCATCCCTTTCCCATATTTTTTATTGAATTTCGTTCTAGAAATTTTTTAGAGGGCTTTTAAAGTGAATATTGCTGATGGTTTTACTGCTCAGTAAAGCAAGCCTGAGTATGAACACCATAAGTGCAACATTTCATGTAGGATATGCGTGTGTGTGTGTGTGTGTGTGTGTATGTGTGTGTGTGTATGTATACATAATGTGTTTTTCCCTAGCTGGGAAACTTGTAGGCTTGGGATCTTGGAACCACTGGACTTGCCAGTGATGGAAGTGCTACTTGCAGGCACAGAAGAGAGAGATTCTTTCTAGCCTTTGCAAAGCAAAGGTTTTCTTCCGAGATTCTAGACCACAACATGTTGCTTGTAGAAGTGTTGCAGGCCAGAGTAGCATAGACAGGCCAGAGAAAGAAAGCTTTGTTTGTAGTCATGCAGTTGGGTATGATTTCACTTGTTTTTTGTTTCCTTGAGTGTCTTGGAAGGTTGCTCAGGGATTAGCTTCGAGGATCAGTAACCAGAGGCTTTCAGTGTCTGAGAGCAGAAGGCCCATTAGGCTGTCTAGCCTGACCACCTGTTGGCCATTGCATTTCCCTAGAGCCCCAGTCATATGCAATTGCTTAAAGCATACCCTTATATTTGCTTGATCCAGATATAGCAGGAGATGAATACATAGCAAGTAACTGCCCATCCCTTGTTGTTTTGTACTTCTGCATGTTTCCATGGTTAAACATCTCTCTCCTCTGCTCACTTCAGCGATTACAAGGTTGAGGAGCCTTTGCTCCCCGCTATTTTCTTCCTGAGAGAATGCATTACGTGCTGCAATCCAGTCACTTGCTCAGTCTTCTTTTAATTAGCTGAACATATTGATGCTGTGAAGTCTTTTAGCTTGGGGCATTTTTCTAGCCCTCAGATAATCCTGAGGCTGTGATGAGGTCCCCCAGCAGCTTCTCAGTGTTCTTTTTAAATTAGGAAATTCAAAGACAAATATTGCTTCTTTGATAAAGATTGTTTTCAGCAACACCATTCTACCTTGCAGTTAAAGGCAATTGAAAATTTTACCTTCCCTCTTTAATTATAACAATACATGAGCTTCACTTCATGTAGATGAGGAGCATGTGCTTACGTTTATACTATGTCAGTAAATGGCACTAAATATGTGTTTCCATAAATGATAGGAATTAAGAGGTGTCTATTTCTTAAAACAGGCATCCAGACAAAAATATAGCCAAGAAGATATGTTGTCATACTACCTAGAACTTGTATAAATTCACTGTGTAATAGATCTGTCAATAGTAGAAGCATGTTAGCAGCAGAAAAGTAGATTTACTTATGATGGCTTAAGATTTATTGCCAGTAACTCTCTCAGAACAGATGTGTGGTGTGTTCCGAGCTGTCCCTCGTATCTCCTGGCAGTACTGATAGGTAAGGGAGGCTCTGCCCTGAGCAGTGGCAAGGGCTGGCAGGGAAAACAGCCCTGTGGAGCGGGCAGAGAGGAGGGTGAAGGTAGAGCAAATAGAACTGATGAATTGAGGTGAAAAACTATGCACTAGGACAGAAAAGGAACATAATAATAGTAATGATAACAGTATGTATTTACAAAACAAGAGACCTACAGCATGTAAGCTCACTACCCACTGACTGATGCCCAGCCAGTCCCCAAGCAGCAGCTGCCCTTGGACAACTCCCCCCAGCCACTTATGCCATATGGGGTGGAATATCCCTTTGGCCAGTGTAGGTCAGCTGCCCTGGTTGGGATCTCCCAGCTCCTTGTGTCTCAGCATCCTCACTGGTAGGGCAGCACGAGGAGCTGAAAAATGGAAATGTCCTTGGCTCTGTGCTGCCCTGCTCAGCAACAGCTAAAACGTCACCATGTTATCAGCATTGTTTTTCTCCTAAAACCAAAGCTTAGCATCCTACTATATGCTATGAAGAAAATGAGCTCTGCCCCAGCTGAAACCAGGACAGCAATTTTTCTGATTTATTTCATTTTTTGTAAGCTATCATTTTTGAAACCAATTTGATTACTTCTCTGTTGCAAAAAGGAATGTTCTATGAGGAGCAGCTGAATCCAAGTGTTGATATGTGGTTCTCAGACAACATTTCCTTAGACTTAGGGGAATGTGTGTTATCTTCTACTGCTGTGCTTCTAGGGAGTGCACAAGGAAAACTCATTCCTTTCTCTACAACTGCAATAAGTTCCATAGTGGCAAACCAGTGTTTTTTGTAGGTACTTTGTGTCTTCCCCAGTGAAGCTAAGCTGGGACTGGATATTTTTGCCAAAGCTTTATAGCCTCCCTTTTCACACTCTTGTTTTGTTCTGCTGGATTTAAATCTGCTCATTCTGCTATAAAAACTCTGCAAACAAAGAGCAAAGCATTGTTTGACAAGTAAGCCTCTTTGCAGTCTGCTTGATTGCTCAGTCTGGCATCTTCTGTGTTGGCACTGCGTTCAACCACAGACTTCAGCCCTTCTACAAGGCAGAATACAGCAGTGGAGTGCGCAGAGTTACGTGGTTCAGCAGCTGTCTTGTAGTCTGATGAATGACATTTCTGTTAGTGTAGTAAAGACTCTTCATTCTTCTCCTGCAAATTGGTAATAATAAAAACAAACGCTGTAGCACGTGGCTGTATTGAAATTCTCCTTCTCCTCTTTTTCGTCATGTAAATTAACCGCTTCATAATTCAGGTGAAATGAAATGAAACCATGAAATGAAAGTTGTGGTGGTTGTTCAAGGAGACACAACAAACATACCAGGTCTAATGAGAAGCTATGATGCTTATCTTATGCTTAGAATGCTTCAAAAAGAAACAGGCTAATTTGGGTAGATGTTATCATCCCTCAGCTGTTAGCAGAGTAGTTTACAGGTGAAAACATTTCAAGACAGCTCCTGAAATTCTCCGTTTTGTTGAATTGTGTTGTGAAATGTTGTTGCAGTTTGCTCAGGATGAAGATAGTTGCATTGGTGACTTTGCAGTGATCGAGTATGAAACTGCAGAGCAGGCTGAGAAAGTGCAGGAGGCGATGGACGGCACGGTGATCAAAGGGAGGAGAGTGCAGGTGTCCTACTGTGCTCCAGGAGCGCCCGGCAGAAGCACGCTGGCAGCGCTTATCGCAGCGCAGAGGATGGTAAGGTTTTGCACATCTGTTTTCAGAATGAGTTTGTTACACCCCGAGCGAGCTGAGTCTCTAAGGCATTCAGCTGCTTTGTTTAGGAAAGGTAGCCAGGCTTTTGGATGTGTTAGCTGCTTGGGTTTTGTTGTGTGTTGGCTTTTTTTTTTGTTTTGACCGGTCGGCCCGGTTCGGTCTCCTTCCTAAGCAAAACGTGGCCATCTATTGCAAGGAGGTAAAGCAGAGAGCTGGAAGATATATAAGGTAAGGCTGGTAGAGCTCTGGGATGTCATCAAGTTTAATCTCTGCCAGAGAAATTGTTCCTATTTGGAACAGAAGTAAATGGAGGTGGAGGCATTTCATGAGCTAAAACGGAATTTTGATTTTGGTTTAAAGCAGAAATTTGTCAGTTTTAAGGTAAATTTCAAGGTAGGAGAAATAGTTTAATTTCCTGCTTGATACAGGAGAAAGCTTTCTATACCTACCCATCACATCAAATTATTTCCTAGAAAACTGGATGTGGTAAGTGTTACAAGGAGCTGTCATAAGAGTAGAAGCAAAAGTAGAAGCATTACCTTGGGTAGCTCTAGCTCTTTATAAAAGAGATGAGCAGGGCTATCACAGAATCATAGAATGGCTTGGGGTGGAAGGGACCTCCAGGATCATGAAGCTCCAACCCCCTGCTGCGTGCAGAGCCACCAACCTCCATATCTAATATTAGACCAGGCTGCCCAGGGCCTCATCCAACCTGGCCTTGAACACCTCCAGGGGTGGACGGGGCATCACAGCCTCTGGGCAGCTGTTCCAGCACCTCACCGCTCTCTGTGAAGAACTTCCCCCTGACATCCAACCTAAAGGCTATGACATAAACCTAAGACTGACATCAAACCTAAAGGCTATGACAAGACCACCTTTTGTGTTCTCCTTTTTTGATAACACTGTTTTAGTTTGAAGGAGAAAACAAACGCTTCTAAAGAAAAGATCAACATCAGCTCTTTGTGGTCTGGGAAATAATCATTACTGAGGTTGAACTGCCATGCAGAGCAGTGGTTTAGACCTCCAGCTACTCCAAAAGTCTTGAGACAGAGTGAAATCATCCAGGTGCTGTTAGGTCTGTTAGAGAGTGATGGAGGAAGTGTGTGAGTAGAAACACAGAGAAGTGAAGGGCAGGTTGGGGGAACAGCACTCAGTGCCTGAGTGAAGGCAGTGCTGATGCAGCATCAGTTAGCTGTGTGGGACAAAAGGGAAAAGTGAATTGTTCAGGTGTGGGATGTGCATGTCCAAACTTCCCTCTTTAGGATAACTTGTTCAAGGAAACAGCATTTATCCAGAGATGTCAATGGATGCATTGCTATCTCCTGTTTTTAACATCTTTCTATCTCTCCATTTGAGATGAGGAACAATAGGAAAGGATTGCTTCCAGAGCCGAATCCAGTGCAGATCATGAAGAGTTTTAACAATCCAGCAATGCTGCAAATCCTCCTGCAGCCCCAGCTGCGTGGACACGCTGTCAAACCTGGTGAGCCATTTTACAACTGGTTTAAAACAAAACCCTGTTCTTAATGAGGAATTCCAGCAGAGGAGCGAAACACCAACGCTCTTAAGATCTGTGCAGACAGCTTCAAGATGTCTGTGTAGATGCCTTTTTCACAAGCCAGAAGTGGTTTGGTACACTATGCTGATGGGTAGAGCTAGTGTTACCTAGAAAGGTCCTCACTGTCACTCTGAGGTCTCCCAGCATCAGTAAAAGTGAAGGTTAAAACAAGCATCCTTCACAGACATTGTTACAGTTGTAAGTTTAAATCTGATTGGAGTTGAATGTTGCAGCCTGAGTGTCTCCTCTTGATTCAGGTCTAGAAGTCATTTCTCACTGGTGTGCTGCCAGAGTTGTACCCAGCAGTAAGAGCAGCAACAGCCAGAATCATTTCCCTGCCTTCCATTAGGGTGGCTGTGAGCAAATGTAGTAAAAGCAGTCACCATATTCCAGACAGTGAAAGTAGTAGGACAGCATTAGGAACAGGAGCAGATAATTTGAAGTCTCAGGTGGCAGATGGCTGAATTTGTTCCAAAAATGCTGTACTGCTTCTTGCTTTTTGGTTTCAACAATAACATGAGAAGATATAAAATGTGTATAGTGTGGGAAGCCCCTGTCTGGCAACCAACTGCAGCATTTCTGCCTCCCTGAGCAAAACATCAGCTCCAGAGGAGCTTCATGCCAAATATGTTTGATCTCTGATTGCAGATCAAAGATGACTGTATGGAAAGGCTCCCCTTACTGTGCCAGAAAGTTTTGTAGGAATCAAATGTAAAAATTACAGAATAACTGTTATGAAAGTGATCACTTGCCTGACTTATAAAGATGCTGCAACTCTTGTCTTGTTTCTGAAGGAGTTCTGGGAGCAGCAGCAGGTTTGCCTCACCTTATGAACACAGCAGTCAGCCCTCCTTTCCTGCAGCTGAATAAAGTCCACCAGGTAGGTGTCAAAACTCCACTTCTCCAGAGATCTCAGCATGAAAAAGAATATTTGAGAATCTGATTTCAAAAACTTCCAGCTAAAATCAAGTGGTGTTACTAAAGCAATCTTTCAAAACAAATAAGAAGGAATGAAGCAACCACTTGCTGTGTGGTGGGTGATGTAAGAGCAGGCTGTGCTTGCTGTTCACAAGTGACTTGGTTTATCTTACCTGATGCTTTTATCTGCTAACACCTGCTGGCATGGAGACCAATGACAAAAAACCTCTTTATTTAGAGGTCTGGGGTCTCACATCCATTTTTCTCTCAGCTGTCTGTATGTGCTTCATACAGAGACTGTTTTGTCTTCAAGCCAAGAAGCTTTGCATCGCTGGATGTGTTTTTATTTTAAAGCTTGAAAGAACTGAAGTGTGCTATGTAGGCCATAAAAATAGGAATTGCAGATGTTACTCCTCAGTCTAAAAAAAAAGAAAACAAGGCTGTAGGCTGCTTCAGGTTTTTTCAGACTATCTGGAAATAATGTAAATTGGATCCAACTTCCATACAGACTTCAGAATCTCTGTAGATCCTTTAAGGGACATTGGGGATGAACTTGTGATTGGAGCAGTGCCCACAGGCACAGCCCAGCCCTGCAGCAGTTCTCCTGGCCAGCAGCTTGCTTCAGGTTCTATCATTTCTCCAGCTCTGCCAAGAGCCAGCATTTACCTTCCATACCAAGAGGGGATTGTTCTTAAGTGCCTTTGAGTACTGCTTTCACTTGCTGTTTCTGATGTTTCAGAAATTCCCGTTGGGAAGTAGAGCCCAGTGCTTTACTAGTTCTTTTGGCAAACAGCACAGATCTTAAAGAAAGACTTTTGTCCCATTGTGCAATCAAAAAAAACACCATGATTTGCTTGTACTTTTTGTATGTAAACAGCGTTTTCCATCGGTATATTTAGTTACTAGAGCCCTTCTTGGAGAATCTCTGCTTCCTTGGAAGGCAGTGTGAATGTTTTCTAATCACAGCTGGAGAGAGGCATGTTTTACACAGCTCACAGAATGATTGATGACAATCCAATGGTTTTGGCTTAGAGTTCTGCAGCCAAACGACTTAGTGCTTTCTTTTTGGATAGACTTCCATGTCTAATTCTCTTCCAGGAGGCTTCCTGTCAATTAATTATCTCCAAACCTGATCTAGTAATTGGGATTTTATTGGCAGTGATTTGATTATCCCAGTCCTTTCTATTAGACACATTTTTCTGTTATTCAGTGACTTATTTCAGAGTATTCTCAGAAGGCAAAGAACCGGGTCACTGCTGTTACTGTGTTGAAATGGAGTGTGCAGCATGCAGGAGCAGACGCTGTCCTGACTTGACTCTCCCTCCACCCCCCAAGTCACATGCTGATTGAGTTTCCTCTGTATCTTGTTCTTGTTGTTTTATTTTCAGAGTTCTGTAAAGTAATTTAATGGGTAGGAACAAATATTCTTAGCATAACTCCAGGACAGCATTTTGGAATAACTGATAAAAAGAGATTGAACAGAGAGAAACGTGAACAAGTGGGTTATTCATGCAGAACTCTTTCAAGCCTGGAGGTAGCGTGACTTCTAACTTTTTTGTTGCAAATTCTCTTAGTTATGGTTATCGTGTGCCAAAACAACACATTCTGAACTTTCACAGTGACGTGTTCTCCTAATTCATCCAGCTGTTCACTAATTCCTTGTTAGCTGAGAGCAATCTGAGGGATCTAACCGATCCGATCTTTACTTCTGAATGTTTGCCAGTTGAACTAATGCATCTTCATTGGAAGAAGGAACATGCATTGGCACTGGGAACAGTGATCTGCCATGGGTGATTTCTGCTGGAAATCACTGGCACCCTTAAAATAGCAGATGCAGAACTAATGTATACATGGGCCTTTGTTTTAAACTTCATGTTTCTTACTCCAGTATCCAGCACTGTAACTCATAAGATACACTATTTGGTGTACTGTTACAGTTTTTAAAGAGCTGGAAAAATTGAAGGATTTTTGTTTTTCTTTAAGAGAAGACCATATTGGAAAGATTTTTACCTCGTGGTTTGACCTCATTACACAGAGATACAACCAGAGCTTGACAATACCTGCAAGGAGTGTTGATATGCAAAGCCACACAACCTGAGAGCTTCTTTTCAAGCTTCATTACCTGGTGTTGCTGAGCATGCTGTTTAGGAAATTTTGGGCACAAGGAAGGCTGTGCTGGTTGTGATTTGACAGTTAGTGTTGTGTGTATCTATTGTTGCACTGTGATACGGAAAGGTCTATGTGGCAACTCGTGTTTTGCCTGGCAGATCACTCTCAGGAGTGGCTGTCAGGAAGTTTCAAGGCTGTGTTCACAACGTGCTTTTGGGATCCAGAATGAATGTAAGTTTTCCTTGGAGCCTACACACAAAGCATGGGGTGTAGCAGTGGCACAGTCTGACAGTGGTGCCCCCAAGGCTCTTGGTGAGGTGCCTCAGCTGTGGTAGCAACCAGCATTCCAGGGATTTTGACTGGAAAATACTAGTATTTTGTGAACTGGGTAAAGCACTGCTAACAAGTTGTCATCTTCTGAATGAATGTTTGTTGGAAAGCATTCTTTTCAATGTTTGGTGGAGGAAAGGTTCACGTAGGTAGCTCCCGACAGAAGGGGAATAAAAACTTGTGGCTGTTGCTCTTTGAAAGTAAAGATACTGTTTGGCAGCAGCGAAGCGAGGACTGAGAGTCCCTGCCAATTGTAATGGAGTCCTGGAAGCTGTGCAGATGTTTGGTGGAGATTATGTATTAGAAACGCAATGCACGGCACGATGCAAACATTAACAAACAATGAAGTCCTTATTCACACAGCTCGTAATCTGCTGAAGTCCTTGTGTCTCATCTTTCATGTTGGCATGCTGTAGGTAGCTCTCCATCTCTGCTTCATCTCTCTGCAGAGGCTTCAGGCCACGGGTAGGTTTCCTTGCTGGCTTAGACCAAAGGGTGCCACTGGAGTCTGGATTCTATTTGGAGTATACTTTTGCTTTATTAGAAGCCATCAGAAAATGCGTTTGTGGTTATGAGGTGAAAAAAGAGCTAGGAGGAAGAGGCTGAAAGAACTTGAAGTGTGAACGAACCAGGAGGGGCAGGTTGGGTGTCAGGAAAAATTTCTTCTCCGAAAGAGTGGTTGGATGCTGCGATGGGCTGCCCAGGGATCAGGGAATCACCATCCTGGGGATGCTGAAGGAAGGTGTGGATGTGGCACTGAGGTTCAGTGGGAAAGACTGGTGATAGCTGGGCGGTTGGACTGGGTGATGCTGGGGGCCTTTTCCATCCTTGGTGATTCTAATTTAGTTCTCTGGAGGAAATAGCTGCTCTCCTTTGTCGTATTAATTCAGGAACTAATTTGAATTTCTGTAAGCAGGATCATCTGAGAATGTTTTGGAATTGTGCTGTTTTCCATGACTGCTAACTGACAACTGTACTGATTTCACAGAATTCAATTCTGGGCAACACGAGTAACTTGCTGCTGCAGAGCCCTGCTCACCTCCCGCTGCCGCAGCAGCAGCTGATGAAGATGGAGAACATCCAGGCCAATAGTGTAAGGTCATCACTTTAATTCCAGCTGTCTTTGGACATTCTTAGAAATGATAAATCATTGTATTTTGGTATTTTTCTCATCTAGCGTAATTTGACTGTCTAGAGTATGTGAAAAGATTAACTGAATGTGAAAGAAATAGCTGCAGACAGGTTTTGATCATTTACATGGCTTTCTGTTCTTCCTTATAGAAACCAGGTTTGCTGGGAGAGCCTCCAACAATGCTGCTGCAGACTGTGCTGGGAATAGGGGTAATGCCATCAGTGAGCTCAGGCATGGGAACCCGTGGAGAAGCTCTCAAGTGTAAATGACCTTTTATTTCATACCAAGTCAGTACAAATGCTCAGCTTGAAATGGAGCATCTTCCTTTCTCCCACGCTGCCAAAAGCAAACTATGTTTGAACCTTGTTACTTGACAGGAAGGTAGGCATAGAGCTGGACAATAATGCAAGTCATCTAGCCAAAGAATTACACAGGTTAACAAGGTATATTGCTATATAGCTGTCTTCAGCCTGTTGATTCAGCAGGTTGTGGCCATTTGAACTTGAACTGCCTCGCTTTGTTGCCTGGATTTTCTCATCTGTTTACTCAGGGAAGAAGGAGTACTCTGTTGCATTTGTTGAATATTTGCAGACGGTTGAAAATTCTGCTTATTCAGTTACTAGAGGTTTAGCACAGCTGGAATGTGCTTTTATTCAAAATCCTGGAGTTTGTTGCTTCAAAGAAGATAAACCTGAGTAGCTGAAGGAGCACTGCAGATAGTTGTTCTGCATTCAGTTCATTAAGCAGGGCAGCTTTAATGTCCAGTCTGTGGCAGATAGCAGCTCTGAAAGCCAATTCCTGCACTAGTGATGCCCTCAGTTTCTATGAGGAAAGATGAGTTGTGATTAGAACATCTTTCTTTTTCCTCACTGAGGGCCATGTACTCTGCAGTTTTACAGGCAGCTTGAATGATGGCAGTAGCCAGGAGCAGGGAAGAGCTGCCTTCTTTGGGAAACAGAAAGAAACCCATTCTGAATGCCTAGATTTTAATTTTGGAGAATGTGTTCTAGCTGTTCCACTTGTGAAGGATTTTACTAATGCAAGTCGAAGTTGGAGGCTTTTCCCTGCGTAGGATCCTCTATGATGTTGTTGCTAAGTGTTTTAGGGAGAGTAACTAATTCTGATGGGTGTTAATGAGAGAACGCAGGGTTTTCTTTTATAAAGTTAGCTTTCAATAGAGTTTGCTTCCGATATGGCAGAAAAATAAAGTCTATAACCAGAAGTCAGTGTTCTGTGATAGCTGTGAAGTAGATCTCTACGTGTATTTTTTTGGATCGCTTAATAAGAGCCACCAGCAAAAAGTACTGATGAATCCTGTCTAACAGAAAAGTTTCTCCATTTATGGTTGACTGCAGCATCTAATCTGCCTCCAATTCAAACAGCAGCAGCAGCAGCAGCGGGGATGGGCTTGTTGCCATTCTTTCCAAATCAGCACATTGTTGGGCAAGCCATACCAGGGCAAAATAATGCTCCGGATAAAGCACTGACTGCTGAAGGAGTCGTCTCGGGATCGCAGCCGTATCATCAGGGTGTAACCAACATCGCTGCAGGAGCCTTGCGGGCCGGCCACGCCAAGCAGCAGAATCAACTGAACCAGCTGAAAAGCGCTGACACGAGTTTGGGGGTAAGGAGGGCTGCGCAGGCGGTGCTGGTGCTCTTCTGCTGCTTCTCATCGCTTAACCTCAAGCGTTCTCCTTAAGCTCCAGTGTGAACTGCAGCTCCTCTTTGCATTTCCTCACTGTAGAATCTGTCAGATCACAGGATCGTTCATGAGACGTTTTGAGGTCATTTCAGTTATGAATTATAGAGAGAGAACAATAATGCTCTTTGGTGGTCCAAATGAATTAACAAAGGAATCTTTTTACAGCGCTGAAGGGTTTTTTTTCCCCCATGTGTGTGCTTCATAGTATTTGATGATGAAATTATCTCAAGGGCAGCGTCCCTTTTAAACACTGAAAATTGGACTTGTGGTTGAATTTCATGACTAATCAGGAGCAATTGTGCTGGCACGGTGTAGGGCCTTTCAATTTCCAGACGGTGTATGTATACAAATGAATGTGTGTGTGTTAATTTTCCATGTGAGCTCTGTATCCCCTTAGCCACAGCTGACATCTCCTTAATCTAAAATTAGTTTTAATATTCATTCCCATGAAGGCAGGGGGGGGATGACGTAGATTTAACCTGAGCTAAAATGGTCTACTGACATTTTTTCAGCATATCCTGTCATTAACAGAATCTGGTCTGTGCAGTTACATTTTTTTTTAATAATGTACATATGTATTTTGATGTTTTCTTGCTTAATTTGCATCCCATCTCACTTTTGCTTTGGTGTTTTTGAAGCACTTGACATGATCAGATTGTAGGCAGTATTGGTGCCTACTTTGATCCTGCTTCAGAAAGCAACCTGTAAAATCCCATTTTGCTGTGACAAAGTGGAGTTTTACTTATGGGTGGATACACAGAGATAGAATATGCAGCACATATAAAATCAGTACTTTAGTTCAGTGCTTCCTTTAGTGAAAAGGGAATGTGATGAAATGATGAGCAGTCTAGATATCCCTGCCTACAGCAGGGGGTTTGGAACTAGATGATCTTAAAGGTCCCTTCCAGTCCAAACCATTCTGTGATTCTATGGCTCTATATTCCATTTGTTTCAATGAGTAAATACAGTGTTTATCAGGAAAATCCCTGTAGATGTAGTGGTTCATTTTCTGCATCATAGACAGCCCAATAAGTGAGCATCTCTTCTGTGGCAAGTCACCCAAGTCCTGATCCTTGATAGTGAGCTGCCATCCCACCCCAAGCACCTCTCTTGTGTTTGGTTTTTGAGCAGTTTGGTGATTTAATACCAATTTACTGCGAAGTGATGGATTTTTTTTTTTCTTTAAAGAGCTTTGAAAAAAACGAGCAAGCTAAGTGTAGGTTAGGATGCTGTGTAAACATCTCGGAGCCCTGTTATTCCAGGCAGACTATGCAGCTTGCCATCACTGCTTGTCTCATCCTTAGTTCTGTTTTTCTGAACGCTGTGCAACTAATGTCATGTTTTGTCCCACCCAGCCACTCAGTTATTGAAAACAGCAGCTGCTGGCAGTGGTTTTTCCCTCGGAATGAGCTTTGCTTTTCTCCCGTATCGCACTGTTTGTCTGTAGCTGCAGATGATCTCTCTTCAGAGAGCCCTTCCCTGGCAGGGGGATGCAGTGCTGGTGGGTTCCCTTTGCGGCACCTCGGAGGGAAGAAAGCACTGCTGGCGGCATGGAGAAGTGACTCAGTTCTGATGCTTCATTTCCACTCATTAACATTTCCCTCTTTGAAAGTAAGGGTTTATAAATAGGTGATGGGTAAGACGTGTTATAATGGCAGATCGAGGACGGTGTCATCTCTCCAGTCCAGGGTTCATTTGTCCTTCACTTGCTTTTGACTCCGGGTGACCAGAGCTGACTTTGTCTTGGCCAACAAACAGAATGTTGCCTCCCTTATCTGGAGTGATTAGTGTTCATTTACTTGAATGCAAAATCTGGTGATGGCTGTTTAATATCCTTTAGTAACTTAGAGTCTGAAGGGAAGCATTCCTACACAATCATTTGTCAAGAAAAACATGTGGGCAGTGCATCCAGATTGTTGTCCCCGGTATTTATTTTAAAAGTTTGTCCAGAACAAGCTAAGCTTTGTTCAAAATCATGCTGGGATGCTTATCCTGTTTCTGACAGATGTGTGACTACAGTGTGTACTGATCTATTCCATTATTTCACAGCCTCCTTCGAAAAAACAGACTTCTCTGCTAGGAGAACCGCCAAAAGAAATCCGCCTTAGTACCAACCCCTACTTGAATTTGGCAAGCGTGTTGCCTGGTATCTGTCTTCCAGGTAAGCAGACATTCAGCAGTTGTATTGGAAAGTTTCCTCAACCAGAATGTGGCAAATCACTGTCGTGTTTAGCAGGTCATTCCAGTGGCCACAACACAATAAAACCTTGAATTCTGTCTTAAAATTACAACGTAATCTGTCCTGACCCTACATGAGGAGGGTACATTTTCAGAGTTGGTAAGTGAGCTGATGCAGATAACCTTCTAGAAATCCTGTCAATTATTCATAGCACTGATTAGTTTTAAGCACAGTCTGATAGGAAGTAGCAGATTCCTGTTGTAATCCCAGAGCATTGCTGAACAAGACTGCAATCCTGTTTGTGCAGTTTGCATGAGCTGTGCCTGTTCATTGTGTTACAAACAGCAATTGCCAGCAAAGCCTCGAGTCCACCACAGCAGAGCGGACTGCCCAACAACATCGTGGATGCTGCTGTGTCTCAGGGAACCACATCACAACATGCAATGGAAAATTACTTTAATTACGCTCAGCAGCACGGGGAGTACACACAGGTACGTTGTGTTGCAGCGCTTTCTGCTGGTGAGTGGTTTGTCACCTGGAGCTGTGCAGCAGGATTTGTGGCAGGCTGCTCAGAGATCCCTGCCTGAGCTGCTCTCAGTGCACTCCTTGGTCTCACGGCCCTGCACGCAACAGATTGAACAGGTTGAACAGATTGCCCAACACCATGAGCCCTACTCAAGCTGTCCCTAGGCTCCCCTGCAGCCACAGCCCACCCTTTTCTTTTGGGTGAATGCTGTAAGTCCTCACTGCTGATAGTTTCTCCCTTTCAGTGGTGCAGTCAGAAAAAGCTTCAGTGCGTTCTGCTGCAGGGTCTTTACTGTGGGAAGTTTGCTTCTTGAGAACCTGAATTCAGTACAGTCAACTAAACAGCTGTTCTCATACAACTCCTGGCTTGTCTTTGGTCTCTCTTCAGAAGTTTTTCCCTTCCTGAGACAGTTTTAAAGTTTTCTTGAACTTTGGTTAGACCCCAGAGATGAGCATGTTCCGTGTCCCAGAGAAGAGTATGTTCTGTGTGGCAGAAGTCATTGCATAGCTTTGGGAATGTCTGTGGCCTTTGCCTGCTGGATTCACAGCTTGGGTGTTTCTTCACTGTTTTTACCATTTGGTGATCAGAGCCGTTGTGCTGGAGGGCTGCCTCTGCTCTGGAGATCAGTTTGTCCTATTTCTGAGAACAATGCAGAATCACAGCATGGTTGAAGTGGGGGCACCTCTGGGTTCAACTGGTCAGCACCACATCCAGGTTTGGAGATGTCCAAGGAGGAGACCCCAGCACCCTTCTAGTCCCAGCACTGCCCAGCTCAGCAGTGCTGCCTGGTGAGCAGGGGTTGCTCTGGGGTCCAGATTTTGCCAGGTGCCTCTGGGCTTGCACTGGGCACCGCTGGCAAAAGCCTGGTTCCAATCCTCATTGCACCCTCCCTTCAAGTACTTACAGACATGGGTGTGATCTCTGAGCATCCCCAAGATCCTCCAGTAGGATTTTGCAGACATTGATACACTGTGAAACAACACTTCCACATTTTCACTGGCTGTCACTAATCAGTGTAGAAACACGCTTTTATGCTGAACAAGTATAGATGCTCTGTGTAGAAGTCCTGGGTGTGCTGTGAGACCCCCATCCTGGCTGTGCTTCACACTCCTCCTGCCCTGTCTCAGCACCTCCCCCTTTGAGTTTCCTGACCCCTCATTAGACAGACAGAAATGAGCTCTGCTCCTAGGCTGGCAGCAAGACAGTCTCTCACCCCAAACATTTTGGGGCTAGCGAGCAAGTGGGCTTGAGTGTTCTGTGTAGTAGGGAGTCCCCTGAGCAGGGAGGTTGGTGGGGATGGGGTCAGTGCTCAGTGTTTGCTGCAGCAGGGAGTTTGCAGGGGCTGGGCCTGGCTCCCAGTTACACTGACCCGGTGACAGTGATGGTTAGAGGGGCAGGAGGGATGTCCATGGGCAGTTTTGTATCGTGTGAGCTCTGACATCATCTTGAATGGTTTTGTTTGAATCCAATCGTTGGCTTTATTTTGGTACTTTGTGTAGGTAGTTTCTATCTACAAATCCTTGAATTCCTGTCAAAAAAATTAGTAATGTAGTATTAGTGCAATTACTGTTGGTATCAGATGTACAAAGGGCTCCAGTGATGTGACTTAGGTCCAGAGATGCCACTTGTCATCGTTCATCTCTCTGCATATTGCCTGTCCCTTCCCTATTACAGCAGTGATGTTGCACTTACACCCCTGTCTAGGCAGCAGTGCCTTGTGTATCTCCAAAGCACTTAACTTAGCTTTAAATGTTTGACTTGAGGTTTATCACTGGTGTTAAACATGTTTTGATGCTTCTTGGAGAGCTTTGCCTCTGATTTATCCTCGTGTCCCATGAGGCCACAGGAATTGTTTTCATTTGAAGTGATCTTAGTAGACAGCTAATGGGAAGAGGTTTTCTCCTCCTTTATAGGAGGCTGTTCAGCAGTGGTATCAGCATTATGCTCAGGCTTGTAACTCTACCCAGGCAAGAGTCGATGAATTTGAAAATGAAGCCTCTGAGGTGAGAATTACTTTTCTTCTCTCAGCGTCTGTGTTGGCTGTTCGTCTCTCGGCTGTGCGGTGCTTCAGGACCCTGTGCTGGCGGGGCATGAAATGCTGCTGCCAAGAAACAGCCAGCCTGCACTGCTGGAAGCTCTCCCTGTTTGTCTTATGCTGCCACCGAGCGGCTGCATGGGAATGTGAGAGGCTCTGGAGGCCCAAGTGCTGCCATGGAAGGGCAATAGGGTGAGAAGTGATGGCCCCACTTTCTGCCAGGGCAGATTCCTCCCCCAAAGAGCGCTCAGCACTGCACAGCTGCACAAGAGTGGGGGTCAGCATCCCTGGGGCTGTTCAGAGCCGTGGGGATGTGGTACTGAGGGACGTGGGCAGTGGGGATGGGGAGGTGTGTGAGATTGTTGTTGTGCTTGGAGGAGATACAGAGCAGCTGTGGTAATCTGTGGCTTGTGGGCAGCCAGCAAGGTCTGGTGGGCTGCCTGGGGCATATCTCAGCATAGAGGGGGGCAGGGCTTGAGTGTGTAAAACTCCCCATAGGCAGGTTGTGCTTTCTGGTTCCCAACAGCTCTGATGTGATGGAAACTGGGGAAATTGTAACGGCTTCACAGAGAAAGCCTGGGGTGAGAGCAAGCTGCTGCCTTCGCATTTGTTTCCAGCCAGTGAGGAAGGCTTGCGCTGAGGTGATGCTAAGCAGCTTGTTGTGCAGTGCTGGCTGCCATACAAGGCAGAGCAAGAGCAGCCCTTGGCACAGGCGGAGCAGAAGTATAACTTACAGCAAGTGCTTCTCTCATTCCTAGAACTAAAACATAATTCTCAGTGAGGAGGGCATGCAGGCTGCTCCCAGAGAGGCTCGGTGCTGTTAGGACGGTGTGCTTTTGTGTGTGCACTCACTTTCTCCTGCTTCTCTGAGCTGTGTGCCCAGGGCTCTAGAATTCATATTCTGGGAGCTGCAAAGCGCACAGTGATGTCCTCAGTGCTGCAGGAAGTGTTGGGGAAAAGCAGAATCCTTCTGAAAGCAAATTCTTGTTTGTGGTAATGACAGGTGCCATCTAAAGTGGCATTGGACTCTTGCAAGGAGTAACTTGAGCTGTGAATGTGAACTAGCAAGGGAAGCTCCAGAGGTTTGCTAGGGAACATTTAGCTCAGAGATGCTTGGTCAGCAGAGCTGTGCTTTTGATAAAGGAATTAGTTTCCTGGGTTGTGAGATGTGTTAGGGTTTCTAAGACACCCATTCCAGCATGAAGCAGAACCCCACTTGGCCTGATCCAGTTACCCAGACTGCCTGCTGTGCTCACGTTGGGTTGAGGTGATGGTTGCAGAGTACACATCAGTCTGTCAGAGTGAGGCAAATGGTGCAGCCCTTGGTAGTGAAACCAGTGTCACACGGGGGGCAGAGAGATGTACGAAGACTTGGTGATGAGGGTGGTGAGCTCTTTGTGTAGTTCCTGTGGCTCTAAGTGCCATGGATGTTGTACTGCCCGCTGTGAGGCATCCCAAAGAGCTGCGTATGAGCCTGGTGTAACCTGGTGCCCTTGTGGGGCACTGGGCCCTGACCCCCCCCAGAACCCTGCTGTGGGACATCGGTGTGAGGCACCTCGGTCCAAGTTGATTCAAAGCAGTATTACTGCTCTTTCCCTCGCTTGAATACCGTATGTAAATTCCTGCCTGCAAGTGGCCAGCAACACAAACACGCTTTGGCATGGCTGGATAACAAGTCCTTAAACACCTTGCTTGCAATACTGGGGCACTTTAACCTGTTCAGCTCTTCAAGAAAAGCAAGAGAGCTCCAGCTGTCCCACTGTCACTGTGCTTTAAAGGGTGAAGATGGCCAGAGCGTGGCCAGGAAGCCGCTACCTCTCAGTATGCATCCCGCAGCCTGGGCTCCAGCCCTGCCAGCCCTTTGCCCTCCCAGACATGCATGTGCAGCCGGGCACCTGTGCATTTATGATCGGTTTGTAGGGAAAGGGCACAACCACTGACTCATGAGCTGTGTATAGCCAGCCTAAAGCAGCAGGAGCGGGCGTTTGGAGCCGGTTGCTGGCTCCTGGTCTTTGCTCGTTCCCAGACCGGAGCTTTATTTATTGATGCTGTTGCTCTGGATCATGTGTCGCTTGTTTTCTTCTTGCCCTCAGGTGGCTCCGGTGAGAAGCGAGAAGCGAGGCTCCTCGTACCTCATTGCCTCCCCAGAACCTGGCCCAGTGGAGTACCTTGGCCAGCACGCTCAGGGCTCCGCAGTGCGTTATGCAGAATCCTCGCTGAAGAAGAAGCGCGTTTACTGAGACCCGACGAGTCAGCCCTGCCTTGATAGGCGAAGGCAAGCCTTGCGTACCTCTGCTATTTATTGCTGCCTTAACTTCAGACAAATAACTTTTCTTTCTCCGTGGGTTCTGAGTATCCCAAGAGGAGCAACCCTGTGTAACAGGCAGGTTTGCCAAGTGAGCTGTAGGCGCCGATACGCCGTTAGCCATTTCTCAGTAGTCTGACTTGCCTTCTGGAAGGGTGGATGGGTGTCCTTCATCTGCCACCAAAGCGACCGGGGAGCTGGAGCCGACCCAGAGAGGTAACCAGCTCACTCTGTAGTTCCTGGCAGCGTACAGCCGAAAGCAATAAAAACACTGATTCTTTCTCTAGTCCTCAGGCTGAGGAAGTTAAAGACAAAGTCTTAATAGCAATTCTCTTTCTTATTTTTTTAACTCAAGAATGTGGGTTGTTGGTTTTTTTTTTTTTCGATCTTGCTTATCCCAGGATTAAGATTTCTGCATTTACAACCCTTATATTTTTAAAATTCCCTCTTAATCCTGGAGTGCAGATATACCAAATGTATTCCTAGAGTCGCTGTGATGTTTTCAATAAATGTTTGTTCAAAGCGCGATCCTACGCAGCGTGCTGCCTTGCAGTATGAGATTTTATTTGGACAGCTGCCATTTGGCCAATGAAGTAACCTTTATCTGCGTTGGGCAAAGAATCCACAGCTTTTCCTTGGAGTAGTTCAGTTTGTGAATGGAGCTGTGTTACACAGCAAAGCACCAGCTCAAAAGAGCAAAAAGCAGCGGGTTCCTGAATGCTCTGGAAGTGCACTTGGTGGTGTTCTGCAGCCTGGTGTCCTCCTTCCTGCAGAAACGTGGTAGGTGATGGGTGGAGGTGACAGAAGGGGGAATATACACCACCTCTTAGGCTTTGCCTGAATGCAGATGAGCCACACGTAGAGCAGAAGTGCCCCTACAGCTCTCCTCAGCTGCCTTCTTCAGTTCTGCCTGCCTGCTCTTCTCTCTATTTATTTATTTTTTCCAGCCATCTTTAGACGTTTGCTGCAATCCAAGCCCTGTTGGAGTGGAGCATCCTGGCTCCAGTTCTCTTTGCTTCTTCCATCTCGCCTGTCGTGTGAGGTTCTTACCCAAAAGAGAAGCCATTCATGTTCAGGCAGCGGTAGGTGCTCAGCCCTGCACTGCTTTGCAGCCAGGTGGCTCTCACTGTCTTTTTGTATTTAAGGACTCGGTATTTTGGGCTCACAAACGAAGCACCTTCGGCTAGCCTTTCTTTTCTGCTGTTTCTCCTCTTGGCTGAAGAGTTAGCAAGCATTATTTGAAATCCATGTTTGTGACGGCTAGACGTGGTGGGCAGGGGACCCTTGGAATCCCATTGCAGATTGATTTGGACCCGATTCACTCACTTCTGCCATTAAGACTGTAAAAGCAGGCCTGAATCTCTAGTTTGGTAGACAGTACTGAAGACATATTTTTTAATACTGATTTGTGTTTATTTTTTATGAACAATTTAAACTGTATTTCAAGCTTTAGTGTGTGACCAGAAGAGAGATTTTTCCTGGTTTTCTTTTTTTTTTTTAAACATCAAAATCTCTCCTCCCTCACTGGTGTTGTTTGGATAGACAGCATGCACTGCATACAGGTAGCAATGCCTAAGACAGCCAAATAGCAGCACAGTTAATGGGAGACACGACGTTTTGGGGGGTGGGATTCTGTATGTATTGATAAGTTCACTTGTAATATTTTGTTCAAACTGTTTGTATACGCAACTTTCTTAATTTGTTACCCTTTTCAGTGAAAATAAAGTGTTTGGTACACATTTACAGTGGAGTTCTGTGGAGGAGAACCACCTCTGCCCTACCTTTAAGTAAGTGACCATTTAATGTAGGGGAAGGTTGTTCTGAAGGCAGCGTGGGCATGTGGGAGACATGCAGAGGTTGCACTTGGGCACAGGGTGATGGGCACAGCAGTGAGGGGCTGGGGTTGGACTGGAGGGGCTCAGAGGTCTTTCACAGCTTCGAGGATCCTCTGTTCTGCTCACCCTTCCTATGCAGGTCGCGTTATAGAGCCTCATTTAACGTGGAGTGCAAAAATGTATTCACATGGAGAAAAAAAAATCTTTATTAGATTTGTTTGTATAAAGAGTAACAAAGTGCTTACAGATTTAAATCGGGTTCATACACGACGTACGTACAGGAAAAAAAACAACAAGTAATACTGTAAAAATAAATCTGACCTGGTTGCCGCTCTTACTTACAACTTCTTTTTAATATATATATAGATATAGATATTTAAAGATGTCTTTCTATTATTGCCAGAACTATTTCCACTTTCAGAATCCAGGTGTGGTGGAAAAACAATGTTGCCCAAAGGGTAGGATATGGGTCAGCCAAAGGTTTCCAGTTAAACCAGTGCTCCTGGAAGAGCCCAGCCTTACAGAACGGGGCCGCAGTGCGGCTCAGTGGCATTTGCAATGCCAGCTCTGGTCCTGACAATACAACATGCGTGGTCCCAGGGAGCCTCACAGGGCTGTGCTCTCCTGCTGATCAGAGGAATATGTCACAAACACGAGGCTGGAGACTGTAAGTCAAATTAGACGACGGCCAATGCTATTGTTTAAAGCAGTCACCTTACGCCAAGGGAGCAGCTTCACAGGAACAAACTGCTAAAATGCACGAGCATGCTGGCCAAGGAAGTTCACTGACAAAAAACAAGTGTTGTGTGCACCCCTCTGCTGGCACTACTAATAACAAGATGACGTTTGTAGGGTCAAAGTGTTCTTTCCTTCTCCTAGGTAAGCTTTCCTGGTGCTCAAAACTCTACCGAGTTACTCTTTGCTGGGGGAGTATTCCCCCTAAATCTGTGCATGGTTTGTCTTTTCTCTCCCCCTAGGTTAATTACTGTCCCGTGCACATCTCATGGCACTGTAGCTCACTTAGTTGCAGTACAAGCTGGAGGTCAATGTGTTTGCACACTTAATAGCTACATCACGGGGGGAGAGCTCTGGGGGGAGGAAGAGATGGGTAAGGAGGGCATGGAAGGCTGGCTGGGAAAAGCAAATACATTGATCCAGAAACTGGGCTTCTCAATGAAATGCATAAATATACATGCTCATTCATGCCTTTTTTTTTTCAACTGTTTGAAATAGGATAATCAAATAACACTTTAAAAGTATCTTTAAGAGCTTGGAGCTGCAGCTGGCTTCTTATTATTTTCTTTTTCTCAAGATTTTTTTTTATGCCAAAGTGTTTTCGTTTTTCCTTTGTTTCTGAAATGTAAGTGCACAGGGAGGGGATTCATCAGCCAGAATTTTCTCCAAACTTCCTCAGAACTTCACAAGAAATGAGGATGACTACTGTTACATCCACTGGTTCACAGAATAAGCGTGAACAGCAAACATGTTTTAAATGCTACAGGTTGCACTGAGACGTGCTGAGAACTGTAGCAATTTTTGACACTGCTTTCAGCTCACATTGATCAGGATAGTTCAGAGTGGAGCGAGACCATAACAAAGAGAAAACTGTCTTGCAGTAACTGGTGCAAGAGGAGTTGAAGCTATTGTTTCTGCCATACCTCATAATTAATTTGATCCAACTGTTGACTGAATTTAAAAAAAGAAAAAAGGAGAACTGTTGGAAAAACGATCCTTTGAACACACTAGCACAGTCAGAATACAAATTACAGTAGTTAAAAAGTGAAAGGCCTTGGGTATTTATATTTTGACACACCATTAAAGCACTGACAGTATAAAAACCGAATTACATCTTGCTCATAATTGTTTCAAACCCTTGAATCAGGTTGTGAAAGGTTGTCCGCTTATCGTGCTTGAATATCCAGCATTTCCTCATCAGCTGGTCGATCTGGAAGAGGAAAAAGAGAAATTTCTAAAGGTTGAATGAAACAGCTTGTTTCACTGCTAAGTGCAGAGGGAAATTCAGTGCTGAAAAACGTTTACATATAATGCTTAAAAAAGGTGGAAATGCCTTTCTGCCAGCAGCCATGGAGGATTTTCTACAGAGAGTGTATTCACTTGAGTGTGCCTGGTGCTTTTGCTGCTTATTCACTGTAAAAGAAAGAAGACTTGATAGCAGTGGAGCTGTGTTACCTCCTCGGGGCAGTTGGGTGGACGTGGCAAACGCTTCTCCTCTTGTAGGACACGCACGAGCCGTGCTACCGTCATCTGGCCCTGTGTGGGGCCAATCATCTTCAGGAACTCCTGGGGAAAGAGCAGGAGTCAGTTGTGCTACCTCAGCACTGAGCCACATTGCTGCAGTTTGACACTAAGATGCCACTGCAATCTCACTGTGAAAGTGCACAGCCTGCCTCTGTGCAGGGTCTGCAGTGAAAGGCAACCACGAAGGTTGTTTTGAGAAGATAAATTCTGTGCACTTCTTGTTTCCACACAAACAAAATCTGATGCAAGCATCTTTAACAGCGCTTTCCTCCACGACCACTTACTGTCATCGGGCTGGACTCCGAATCGCAGTAGGTGAGCAGTTCGTACAGCGTCACCCCGAACGACCACACGTCTGAGGCGATGTAAAACTTACTCTGAATCAAGCATTCTGGAGCATACCTGTGGCCACAACACGACACTGTTAAGCTGCATTCACAGCTGCAAAGATTTACCCATAGGTGCACAACCAGTGTGAATCGAACCTAAGTGAGCTGAGGAGGCGTGCTGCATTCATCCTCCTTACACATAATTGTGCCCCATAAATGTGCCCATAAGGCTTGGGATGGCACAGCAATAGTAAACAAGGAATATCTTACACAGCAAAACACCCCAAGACTAAGGGAGACCAAAAGCAAAATCATGAGGAAGTGGATTATTGAGTGCAGGAGGACACTAATGCAAAAGCAGATTAGTCAGCTATGTGCTCTTTCTTGCTGCTGTACTGAGGCCTCTCAGTTAAATGGGAGAAATCCTCAGGACACCTAAAAGAGGCTTCTAAGGCTCTGAGGTGAGTTATTCTGTTGCACAGTCTGGTTAATGAAAATGGGATATAACTTGTTATTACCAAAATACAGGGCTGTCGAGGTCATCTTTGACAGTGTAATACTCCTTATCAGTCTCGATGGCTTTGGTGAGACCAAAATCCCCAATTTTCACTCTGTTCTCACTTTCAACAAGGACATTTCTTGCTGCTAAGTCACGGTGCACATACTGACAGGAGCCCAAGTAGTCCATCCCCTGTAAGAGAAGAAAGCCTTGTAGGTTAGTTTCTCTAATACTTAACATCACTGTTTTTCTCCCAACCTCCCTTCCAAGCATTCTCTTTTTCCTGCAGTAGCATTCCATCCAGATTTTCCATCGCAAGTTCTGCTGGTACTTTCCAGGGTCCTTTTCTGGTCCACATCCTTCTTCTAGACTCTGCCTTTGGGTTCCCCATCTGCTAAGGCAGGTTGTTGTTCCTACTCTATGCCTCTTAACTTTCAGCTAAGCAACCAGTCTCTCAGAGCCTTCTCTCCATGGCAACTGTTCCTCTCTGCATGCTGCTAGGAATGACTGATGTCTGTGCTGCTTTTAGCTGCCTTGTCCACCACAATCACAAAGTCACAGCCTCTGACAAAAGGCACACAGCTTCATGTGGTCTTACTGCAGTGTGCGCTTGCATCTCATGCTGTCCTCCCTCTGTAACGCTTCCAATTCTGTAATTCTTTCTTCTCATGGTCATTGTTTATGCGAAGGAACCTAATAATTGCTCCTTTTATAGCATCTGCAGCACCTGAGAGACTGTTTTTTGAGGACAAAGCCATGGTTTTGACCATAAAGCAAGCCTCCTTTCTTCTCATCCCTTACCCTGTTAAGTGAATACTAAACTAATCAAACAGGAGAGTTACAAGAAAGCTCTGGTGCCAGGCTCACCTTGCAGATCTGAACTGCGTATCTGAGAAGTTGTTTGAGATTGATTTTGTTCTTGTTTCGTGGCAGATATTCCTTTAAGCTCCCAGAAGGAAGAAATTCCATGATGAGTTTAATCCCATTTCCTCCTAAAAATGAGTGCATGGTTAATTTACAAACGTGACCCTTCTCACATCATTAACATCAGAACCTTTTGTACAACACCCACAGCAGTGGCAGCATTTGTTCTTTAACAACACTGTATGACCACAGCCAGGCAAACTCCCATTATCAGTCACTGTAGCAATCTAGTAGAGAACCTGTTCCAAGCAGCACAGTTACTGAACATAAAGGTCTTTACATTTTCTTCAGTTCTTAAATGCTAAGTGTAAGGCAATGGAGCTCTATTCTGTGACTCCTGACATCTGCTTCTACCAATGACCTCTAGGCTTTGCGGCCTGTGAACTGGCTCATACTGTCAGCTCACTCCTGGCTCACACCGACCACCACCCAGCCCAGGTGATTAAAATCCTTTCCATGGATTTGGTGAACTCCAACAACTTCGGTCACATCAAAGTTAGCTAGGTGTGAAAATGGGCAGGAGGACTTCAGGCAGAAGTTGCTGCTTATTCCATGAAGAAAGACACCTCAACCCACATAATAGAACTCTTAAAAAGCTTTTTAAAATGCTTAATTTTTAAAGGAACATTTTTTATGCTGTTAGTGCGTATTTTTCGTATTCTTCATGAAGACTTACCATCTTCTGTGCAAATTCCCTTATACTTGACAATGTTCTCATGATACAGATTCCTCAAGATTTCTATTTCCTTCTTGAGGTCGGCAATGTGATTCCCTCCAGTCTCTGGCTTCAGAGATTTAACTGCCACTTGTTCTCCTGTATTGTCACCTTCTGGATCGTATCTGCAGAGTTCAACCTTCCCAAAGTGGCCCTAATTGTCAAAGAAAAGAGCATAACTTAACACTTCCTAACCAGAGTGTCCCTGATGCTCCACTTGAGGCATTTACAACTCCCATCTTCCTGCTGTGATTCGGAAAGCACACACAGATCTATGCACACACACACATACACATACACACCCCTCTATAAAAATGCCAAGAGACCTGAAATTCTGCTAACAATTTACAAACCAGATCACTGTTTACTAGATATCCACAAAAGCTTTCCTTATCTTCCATACAGAACACACACAGTGTGCTTTTTAGAGAGTGGTGAGGTGCTGGAACAGCTGCCCAGAGAGGCTGTGGATGCCCCTTCCATCCCTGGAGGTGTTCAAGGCCAGGTTGGATGGGGCCCTGGGCAGCCTGGGCTGGTATTAGATATGGAGGTTGGTAGCCCTGCCTGTGATCCCTTCCAAGCCATTCTACAATTCTATATACATCTTTTTTTTTTCAGCAGGATTAACCAAGAATTCCCTGGCACCTCTGTCCATCCCTGAGTGCAAACACACCTCCTCCTCCTTCTCCTCCTCATGACACCTCCACACCTCCCTTTACTGTGTTAAACATTCAAAAGTTACCACAGTTCTCTTCACACTCAGTCCTGACAGCACTTAAGGGCTGTCTGATCTGGGAAAAGTCACAGTTCCCACTTCCAATGCAGGGACCTAAATCTGATGTTACTCTTACTTACCTCTCCCAAGTCACGGATTCTCTTCAAGAATCGTTTTTCAAAGAGTGTGGGATCGACCTCTGTAACAGGCTTCTTCTCCGAGACAATATCAGGGTCTGAGAGTGGAAAAGCACCAAATTAGACAGATCCCTGGAAGGACGCCTTGGTCTTGATGGACACTTAGGGCATCCTGGTTCATCTGCTGCTATTAGTGCCTCTGTCCCTACTCTCTCAGCTTCTTTTATTTAAACCTCGCCCATTTCTTGATAGGGAATTTCTTCCACTGCTCTGTGCCAGTCCAGACTGATTCAGTCTCATCTCAGCCCACTTCCCCCCCTGCAGTAGTTATTCAGCTCTTGTGGCTACGTATTGCTAGATGGTATGGTTTTGCCCTTATTATGTGCTGATTTTCTGTTAGCTTCTCTTTGTAACTACAACATCAGATGAACCAGGAACACTGTTAATGCCCTCATTCTGTCAAGAATCCCATGGAAATTTCATGAAGCTCAAAGACTGGCTTGAAGCTGACTTGAGCTATTAGATAGCCTTGTTTCTTAGCATACAGGCAATGCACATTCCTTCTAGCTTCTTTGTTTGCAGACATTAAGGGCAAGAATCTTATTCCACAGAGGAGCAACAAGTACCTGAAAAAATATCTGCAAGATCACTGTGGAAATGAGGCTATTTTGTACTTGACACTACATATTACAGTAAATGTTTCTAAGAGCAGTGGGCACAGCCCTGAGCTGCTGGAGTTCAGAGAGCACACAGAGCATTTGAAGTTGGGTGGTGCTGTGTGGAGTCAGGGCTTGGGCTCAACGGTCCCTGTAGGTCCCTTCCAATTCAAGATACTCTTTTGACACTGTCACCATGTTTAAATGCTCCTGCAAGCCATCCAGTTTTAGCCAAACAACCCACACTTCCCTATCCAACTCTCCAGCCAATCAGTAAAATCAAGCCTTACTTTGCTCCTCCAGTTTGTTGATGTCTCTCATGATGGCTCTGAAGAAGGGTCTCTGGTGGGGGTCGTAGTTCATGCACTGTTTCATCAGGTCAGCTAGTTCCTTGCACGATGGTGTCATCAACATGAAATGCCCTTCGTAGAACCTTTCCTTCTGTAAAGCACGAATGAAAACTCCAGCATGAATTGTAGCTTGTTATTTAATCGACCTGTGTTCTACGTTAGAAGATAAGACTACTTTCTCTTAACTTCATCAAGTAAATTTCAGCATTAACTCTAAATCGTCACCTGCCGGTAGAGAACTATTATTAATGATGAGCCTGGTGCAGTTTGGAGCAATCACAACACACAGTTTCTAGCAGCTGCTGAACATTTTATCTTTCAGAGGTTATTTTTCTGCCAGGTGCCAGGCTCACCATTTACTTATGCACTGGGACACATGGCCACATGGGAATGCTTAGCAAGGAAAACCACCATAAGACAGGCAAACAATGAGAAGTTAAGAGCGATGGGGCATAGGTGGGATGAGGGTGGCTTTGTACATTTTCTAAGTTCAGCAAAACCACCCCGGTTGCCTGCCTTGTGCATGAAGCAACCTGCAGCTGGGGCAGCAAGTTCCCTTCAGTTACCTCCTGTTAAAACAACTCAGGCAGTGACTCAAGTACTCAGTCATTTCCTTCAGACAAGCAGCAGCTGCCTTGCTCCATCGCCTTCCCAACACAGCAAAACTTCAAGAGAGAAAAAGCACATATGGAACATAGGCTGAAGGGCACTGGCAGTGTTGAACAAAAACTGCCAGAGCAAAGCAGAACAACTTTTTTTTTTTTTTCTTTCAAGCTTTCAGAGCAAGCAATATGTTGTCCCACTGGAGACTAGTTTGGAACCAACGTCCAAAAGAACTGAAAAACCTTCAGTTTTTAAGCTGAACCTCAGACAGTTTATAATTGGAGATATGGATTAGGAAAAGAGAGGTGTGACAGCCTCAGAATTGTAATTGTTTCTATGCTGCATTTTGAAAATCACTACCAAGGTGAAGTAATAATTAGCATCTTTGTAGCGAGGACAAGAATTCCTGCTGCAATCTGTGGCAATTCAGATGGAATCTGCCCCTTACCAAGTACAGCTGACCTGGGTTTGGTATAAGACAAAAGCAGCTTGAATTATGGAAACTGAAGTGCTGAAGAAGATAAATCTGAGTTGTCAAGGTCAAGTTTAAGCAATGGAGCTTTACCTCTGCCAACGTCTTGTCTTTCAGTGGCGTTTCTCCATTATAGCAGATTTCCCACAGTGTTGTACCAAAACTCCACTTATCTGCTGCAATGCTTAAATTTTTTGAGTCTTCAACACATTCGGGTGCAATCCAGGGGATTCGCTCCACACATTCTTAGATAAAACACAGAATCAAAGCAGTTTGGAATAAATATGAAAGTACTTTAAGAAAAAAAAAAAGTTTTCCAACTTATTCTTGTCTAACTGCTGCTTAACTACAATAAACTGAAGCTGAAATATTTGTCCAGTTTCAGGAAATCTTGATTGTGAAATCCCTGTTCTCATACAGACATTTCCATGGCTTTTATAAGCTCATGGTTTGGGTCATTCAGAAGCTGAGATTCTTTCTATACTCCCTTGCTGGGTCTTGAGATGAAATTAAGTAAAAAAAATACAAGCTCCAACCATCAGTGACACTCCTTCGCTTCAGTGTTGTGGTTTTCAGCTTCATAAAAACAGACTGCTTTTACTGTACAGCCAGTTCTAGTTGGTATAGATGGTACTTTTCCCTTTCTCCTTCTCAATCACAGTGAAGAGAAAAATCCAATTCTTGTACCATACCTTGCCTGGACAGCACAGTTATTGGTATTCCTGGGTCGCTCAGCTTTATGAAAGGTCCATATTCGGTGTCAATTCCCTCTCTTGCCAAGAGGATGTTTTTAGTACACACGTTTCCATGTACCAAATCCTTATCCTCCTGTAGTAGGGCAGGAAAAGAGTGCAGTGAGTGAGCAGAGCTCTGCAAAGTGCCCTTGACGTACCTGTAGCATCAGGGAGCAGAAGACACCAAACTGAAACCCAAAAATACAGCTTGGAAGAAATTATCCTAGAGAAAAGCAGGGCAAGGTTTTGTATTTGTAAATTTGATTAGTTTTGGAAAACATTCCTTTTTCACGACAAGCAAAACTGCAGAAGTGGAACACTGCAGTTTCCAAGTACCTACAAGGAACCAACGGCAAACATAAGCACAAAGAGTATTCAGCTTGCTGATAAAAAAAGGTGCTCATTACCCTCTCTAAGAGTCTCTCCTTATTTAAAGCAACACAGTAAATGTTAAAAAAATATCCTGATATCACAATGCACAATCCCACTACCCAAGGAAAGAACTTCATTAGTAATAATGCACATGAAATCTAGGTAACATTAGCTTGCAGCAAGCTACAGGCAATGCTTCTATCTTACCAGGTAGCTTAGCGCACTTGCAAGTTGCTTGGCTACATTGAATTTCCAGGGAGTTGTCAGGAGTTCACTTTTCCGATGCATAAACAAATCCAGAGGCCCAAATTCAACAAATTCTTCAACCATGATATCTACAAAACCAGGTGCATAAAGTCAGTATTGCAATCACCAGGGTCTGGATAAACTGAGTCAGCTCGTTGCCACCTTCTTCCACCCCCCACCCCAAGGCAAGCTGCTCAGAATTTATTTCACCTTCTTGGAAGTTTATTTCAGTGTTCAAAGAGTCCAAACTGCAAAGAGAGACTTTATGTAGTAAAATAACAGTCAACCAGAAGCAAAGCATTTCCAGAGCCTTGCCAGGGAGATGACTGCTGTTGGAAGGCTGGTTTGTACTGACACTACTGCCATCCCTTTGGCTTTCTGACCTGGAGGATCATCCTGTAAGACATGTATTCAAAGAAAGCACTGCAAAGGAAATCTGATTAATGGAAAGGACTTTGCAGCTGCCTGGCTGTTCCAATTCCGCTTCTGTCTGCTCTGAAAAGTCAAGCAAGAGATGGCAGCAGCCAACCACATCTCCCTGGAGGCCAGCTCTGATCTGAATGGCTGCCTTGTCCTTACTGAAGCCTGCTGCTTAAAAATCCCACCAAAGAGATGTTAACTGAACTCACTTTCTAAGTCACGGACGCAGACTCCATGGAGGAAGACGATGTGCTTGTGAGAAACTTGCCTCATCATGCTTGCTGCTTCAAAGAAGGCCTGTGAGAAAGGGAAGCAGATAAGCCATTAAACTGCTGATCACCGCAGCAGCCATCCATGCAGTGAACTAAATGGAACAGCAACAACATACACTTTTGCAAAAGATAACTGTTTTCCACAACAGGGTTTGCCATCCCACCACAGTACCAGGGCTGTGGTGAGCTGTTGTGGATGTACTCACTGTTCCCTGGGTTCCATAAGCTCTTCCCTGCCCTTTTGCAAGCACAAGGTCTGCATCCCTGTGTGCCTCTCTTTCCAGATGATTAAGCAAAATGCAAATCAAATAACTTGCTTGAGGCCACGTCAGTGACTGAATTGGTGAAAGACTCCCAAGCCCACTGCACAACACAGAGGTAACTTCAGGTGGGTGGCAGCACCCTCACTGAAACCCATCACTCAGCTGACACAGTTCAGACCTCAGGCATGGGTATGCCTGTGCATTTCAGACCACAGCAAGGTCTGGCTCCATTTTGCTTGTGCTTACAGCCTGCGCACAAAATCAGCTTTCTAGGCTGATCCATGAGATTGGACTGCATAAATTGCTGAGAGAGACCCCAGCATCTTCCCATTCTCCTATTACATTCACCAACCCTATGTTTCTTAGACACTCCACAGTTAAATGTGGCAAGGCCCAGTGTTTACAGTTCAAGAGAAAAAAAGAAACACTTGCCAAAGAAATGTCTCTGTGACTGGGGTCCAAAACTTTCAGGAGCACTTTAATCTCTTTTTCGTTCTGATATCCTTCATTCTCATCATCTTTGTAGTTGAGAATCCCTGAGTAAATCTGTGTTCTTGTCCCTCTTCCAAGGTGTTCACCCTAAGGCATAACACAGCATGTATTTTCAAACCAGGACATGAAACAAACAAATGTAGATTTACACATACAGTTGAACCTGCACTCTATTCTGCCTCTCAGAATTAGCCCTACATACAGGCTTAAAATTATTACAGAGTGAAAAACCAAAGACAACGTGTTATTCTTCATTCTAGTAGTCTCTGAGAACGTTTACCACTGTAAACTCTTTTGATATGAAAGGGCTATTGCATCTTGACTAACATCAAGTAGCTTCAGTGTAATTTAACATCATTAGACTAAACATCAAATGAATAAATAGTAACTGGCCTCTGATTTACAATAAGCTGCTACTGAGCCAATCTTTTATGTGTTTCCAAAAGTTAAAGGAAGTAATATTTCAATAGAACACTTTGTTTTGGAATGTAATTTCCTTCTAAATAAGAGAGGATTCTGTCTTGGGATATTTTTGCAGGAAGTCTGAGTGTTGATTGTTAATATACCAAACTAAAAACAATTAATATAATCCATACCTGTTTTCCTCAGTCAGTAATGCTTTCTGCCTTAAAGAAATCTGACTGATTTAAGAGGCAGACATTTTTAGAAACAGTCACTGTGATTTAAGCATTCAAACCACTGTGTGTTTTTTAAAGCTTATTCAGGTGAACTGTCCCACTAACTGCAAATGACTCATCAGAAAATTTGGCAATGTGCACAATCAGTTTGGAAAACAAGATTTTGAATGCCAAGAATCTTCAGATCCTTTGAATACTTTGACTCTATTTCCCTATAGGAAAAGCTGCTTGTTTCTCCAGTAGGTCAGGCTTCAAGAGAGACAGGTATATTCTATTGTACAACCCAGATAGCAAGAACAGCTCCTAAGACTTCCATGATACTTTAAGAATAACTTTACAAGCAGCTCATTCCAAATACATTAGAAAATTGCTCCAATATCCATTTGTGCAATATCCAACCAGCCAGGATGAGGTGATTTTATCTACTCTGAGCATGGAGGGCTGCCACGATGGGTGGATTTCAAGACACAAACACCTACCTGCATTATTTCTTCTTTGCGGATTCGATGGAAGCTCAGCTGCCCTAGATGATAAGCAGGCTGACATTCCTGAGCCTTCTTGGTTGCAACCAGCAGGTTGGAGATTTCTGGAAGGTGAGGACAGAAAATATTCTTGAAGACTTCACAAAGATAATTCCATACGTTCACCTTTCTCAATCAGTTACATTTCTGTATATGCATACTGCAAAGTAAATTCCCAAATGAGAAAGGAAGAAACTGACTTAACTCCTGGACAGGTAACTTCTGCTCATCGTTCCACAGAGAATTCACCAAAGTAGAGCTATATATTTTATAGTATACGTATACAATCTTACATACATTATCCAGAGCACTGGATATTGCATATAAGGCCCTGTTATTGCCACAGTTTGGGTAAAATAACACTCATCCCCCACTTTGCCTACAAGTATGGCCCTTTTCGGTGTGCAGATGGGATGAGATCGCTGGAGCCTCATTTCTTCACCTCCTTGAAAGTTTCTTTAAAGTGCTTAGGGAACATCTATGTTCAAAGCATAACACTTAGGGAATGGGAAATGAACAGAAGGAAAAGACTCAAAAGCCTGCTGCTGCTTCCCTGCACAGCTTCTGCTTAGGGAGAAGCATGGATAGATCTAGACAATTCATTAATTAATAATTTTGTCTTCCTGTTTTGGTAGCTGACATTATTTATTACAATCTAATGACTTTAAATGTCTGTGTGCATCTGGCTCTCCTGTTAGTGGAGAACATGTGCATCAGGACTCAGAAAGCAAACAGTAACAGACCATATTTTCAAAGCACTGTTTTTATATTTGTGAGAAATATATCTTCATATCTGTGAGATTCCAAAAGAAAAGAAAGAACAATCAGAGAAGAGACAGAATATGGAACAGCAAAGATAATACCCTGAAGCCCCACTGAAGTTCAGAGGTGCCACTATCCTGACTAAAGGAAACACAGTGTGCTACCAAAACAGTGAGGTGGGCAGAAAACTCCCTGAACTGTTCTAATTATTCCAAGTACAGCTGTCACAGTTTAATCAGCAGGTCAAAATGTTTAATCTCTCCATGCCTCACACAATTACCAGTGTTCTTCACAAGTGCGGAAAACACACGTGTAGCCACAGAGTTCTCTGCTCTAAGACCTAAACAAGCAGGTAATTAATGCAACTCAATTATTCCCCTCATTCTAACAGGAAACCATTATCTGATCAACCCAACCATGCCCACTGTGTTTCCTCTTTCATACAACATACAGCTGCAAGACAATTGTACCTTCTAGCAAACAGATCTAGTAAGTGTTGGCAGTAGTAGTTGAATGAACACACATTCATCATCTAAAATCTGATCTCACAAATAAATCCACTGATGTGGGGGTGCTCTGCTCAATAACAGCTCCAGTCTAAGTCTTCCTCACTGCTTTGTGAATGTTAATAAATAGCACATCACTGTTACAACAAGCAAGCCCAAACCCAACGCTGCCGCACAGCACACAGCAGGCCACAAACCTCCTTTGCTAGAACTCAGGCCGCATGGCCAGGCATACGTGACTTAGTGGAGAAAAGGAAGAACCTTATATGGGCCTCACTTTGACACAGCACTGCAGCCCATGACTCAGAGTCAGCTGTGACATTTTGGTTTTAAACAAATCTAGAGCTCGGCCTCTGCCATCGATACTGCAGGGGCCAGTTGTGGAGGGGCAAAAGGGGAAATCGCTGTCATTAGAAAGTTCATACAAACAAGGCTCTCGAGAAGCACCAGCCCATGAACATCCTGTGCTGACCTTGCAGCATTAAAGGGAAACCCCTAAAGCCTTGTTCACGGTGCTTACTTTTTGCTTTTTGACAAGGCCCCCTCTCTACAGAGAAGCAATAAGTAATATGAAAGACCTTCACACAGGAATGCGTGCAGGAGAAGACACTAAGAATGCTTCCTATTGCTGAAGCTTCTTATTTCTCTGAAAGGACAGAGGCTACCTCTTGGCTTTGGTTGGCAGCACCTCTTCAGTGTAAAGCTGATGTTGTCTGTGCGAAGGATTTGTCCTTTCAGGTGATCCATCAACTCTTTTAAGGATGCAAAAGACCTGTTTGAGCCATGTAGGAAGTACCCGCCTTTCTTCACCTCGATCTGGAAGTTCTTGTACTGGACTGAATTATTTATCATCTGTGATTAGAGAAGGGAGGGGGGAAAACAAGCGAAATACTGATCATTGAAGAACACCTGTAGGAGTGAATAAATTTATAAAGCCTTTGAGTTCACATCCAGGACCAGTTAATCATTTGCTGCTACGCTGGGTTCCTCTAAAATTCCAACAGTGCAGGAGAAGGCTCCACAATTCCTGTAGCCTTCAATCCCAAGAAGGCTCACAGGAGTGGAAGAAGATCAACATGAAGATGCAAACCTCTAACAAGTCCAAATTTTACTCAGTTAAGAACTGCCAAATTTGGAGCATGGTTTCAAAATCTCGACTTAAAAACAGCAAGAATGCCTTTTGCAGCCTGGGCTGTCTAACAAAGAAACAAGATTTCAGGCTGTGCTTCAGATCCTCCAGCTCATGCAACGGTGCTGGGGAAGGATGACTTTTGTATTGGTTATTTGGTGTCATTATAAGTACGTTCACAGAACTAAATCCATGCTCAAGGAGCATTAGATGAGGTGCAGCAGCAAATTCTGTCTGCTGTTTTCCCAGCAGATGAGTTTACAATTTGCTTGCAAGTTCACGTAGTCTTACTGCTACGAAAGGGAGTGTTCTGGATGTAATAAATGATACTTTCAGAGAGAGCACGAAAGTCTCTCTGACTTCTGTCAGAGGGAAAACAAAGTTATGAGTACAAATGTCCTCCACTTGCTGCATCTGCTGTCAGGAAAAGCTAAGAGAGATTCCCTACAGAATGCAAACACAGCAATATGGATGATGGGGAACCACCAGTCTTCAGCTCACTACTAGACCACTACTGGAAACGCCGCTCCTGACGTACCTCTGGGCCTTCAAGACAAGTCACTGTCATGAGGATGTGGTTAAAGTTTGTGCAGCTCCACCTCAGCACATACATCCCTGCTTCATTCCCTTCCTGTCGCAGTTTGTTGATGGCATATTCAGTGCTGAAAGAGTCAATGTGAAATGGAGGAAAACCGTTAAAAGAGGAGAGCAGTTGCATCCATAACCTATTAGTAAATACACAGGAGAGTAATCCTGTATTTGGAATTAAATCATACACTCACAACTCAAAAATATTTACACTATTATTAAAACATAATTTGAGTGCATTATACACTGCCATGTTTTTATTTTTATTTTTTTACACGAGAGCAAAGAAGGAAAGATATACCGCATGCTTAGTGGGGAAATTCTGCTTTCACCACAGTGCATATGCAAAATTCTCTTCTAGTTTTCTATATGCTGCATCTAAAAATGTAAAGGCCAAAAAGGTGGACAGAAAGGAGAATAATTCCTTCAGTAAATAAAAAAAAACATAAGCATTGTATATCCATCCACTTACTCCTAGGGCCAGTATAAAGAAAGATTGTATTTCATTGCCTGAAATATTCCTGTCTGCTCAAGTGACAATTAGTGAAATAAGTCTCAAAATACTCCTGCGTGAGGAAGCATTGGCTTTATAGATAAGTAAACTGATGAGGAAAGAACTGGTGATTTTTTTCATGGATCAGGAGTAACAAAAGTTGTCTGACAGCCTTTTGGTAACTAATTCTGGTCATTACAGAAACCTACCAAACGTCAGACTTCCTCGGTGTATTCAACATGCAGCAGAATTAGAAGACTAATTATCCAAGTGGGTAAAATAAACAAGTTCACTAACCAAATGGGTCCATGGCAACCATTTTTAATGTTGTGTTCAATCAGTGGAGGAGCCACATCTGTGCAGAGATAATGGTGGGCATCTGCTGTAAGTCTGAAGTATCCATCTATTAACGATGCAAACGACAGAGCTTCATCATGTGAGGACAGTTTTAATTCCTAAAAGAGAAAGATATTTTAGTCAAGAATACTTACAGCTCTGTTAAAGCAGGAAGGTTTCAACATCCAGAAGTTTTTTTCACAGTGGGCACAAAATTGCTCAGAAACATGACAGAAAATCACTCAGAAGGCCAACAGTGACCATTCTCTACCCTCCTCACTTATTACTGGCTAGAAACTTTCATTCTCCTATGAGAACATGAGTCCTATGTGAGATCTGTAACGCAAGCTCCTGTGCCAATCTTTGTGAAGCCGCACTAATTCAAGAGTAGGGCAGTCATGTAGGATGGAATGTGAAGCCTAGGGACAGCCCAAGAAGTCAGGACACTACAGTTGGGTACCTATGAACTCACTTTCCTTCCTCTCTCTCCCAGGGTCCCTCTGCCATCCTTCCTGAGCTCATCTTCAATCTGCTTCTGGTAATCCAAGCTGTGTGTGGGAAGGCCACAGGTTGAGAAATGTAGCTAAAGAAGTCACCAAAAGCTTGGGGAACTGATAAATACTGGTGGCATGCAGTAACAAATGGAGAGAAATAACCATCCTCATCAAGTTGCTACTCTTCTAATTAGCACTTCTGCATTTGTACAGTGATGAAGACAGCATATGGATCCAAGTTGAGGGAGGGAAGATTTAGGTTGGATGTTAGGGGGAAGTTCTTTACAAGGAGAGTGGTTAGGCCCTGGAACGGGCTGCCCAGGGAGGTTGTGGATGCCCTGTCCTTGGATGTGTTCAAGGCCAGGTTGGACGGGGTCCTGGGCAACCTGATCTGAATGTGTGTGTTTGGTGGCCCTGCTAAGCAGGGGGGTTGGAACTACATGATCCTTGAGGTCCCTTCCAACCCAGGTGATTCTGTGATTCTGTGATATTTAACTGTTATTCAAGAGTCTCAATAGAAAATGTTCCCCAGAGAGGTTGTCACCTCTTTGCCCAACAGTACCAGGTCACTACAGCCACCCACAGGAGGGAAAACTATCCAGGTTTGGTTCTTACCATTTTTTTGTTATCCTGCTTGTTAATGCTAACCGTAGACTCCTTGATGACAATGTGAGTGATTTCAGGAAAATAGGAAAAATTGTTCCACAAATCTCGGGTTTTGTATCTGTCTTCATCCTTTTTGAGTTTGCCATCAGATTTTTTCTTCTTCTCTTTCTCCGTCTGTACAGACTGCATTTGGGATAAAAGTATATTAATAAAAGCAGTCTGACAGTGTCAGAAAATCATTTTTTAAACAGCTGTTATGCCCCCCCTAAAGTAACCCTCAAATTCCAGGGATACTCACATTTGGCTTGAGCCTCCACTGAATTCCATTGTTTCCTGTCACGATGACTTCGTAGAGTGGAATGATCTCACCGTCTCCACAATTAAATCTATTTATTTCACTCTCAGATGAAATAAGCAGAGATGAAGTCTCAAAAATTTCTGCTCCATAATATTTGGTCAAAGTCTCCATTGTTGATAAGTATTTAACTTTCAGATCGCGTGGAGACACGCTACTGTCACAAATGGTTTTATTGTTGAACTCTTTAAGGAAATGCTTGAAAACGTTATTTATCCGAATCCTGGTTAAGAAATTCCTCTGCCTGATAGTCTTGTTCAAAGTTTCAGGAATATAATGTTTATAACTAGAAGGAAAAACAATGCTAGGCGTTAATATGTTGTTCCCTAAGTTTGTAATTCTAACATGTGCTGATTGCTTACATTTTGAAAGTAATTCACAGAGTGCAGGATGCAGCAAAGCACTGTGCACTTGGTGTGTTGGAGCTTCCAACCCCAGCACAGTCAGACACTGGAAAGTAAAATGCTTAAGATCCCTTTTGGAAGCCAAGTGCAATATATCCAACAGTGTTATCCCAACTTACCTGATATCTTTGGGCAGCTCTGGCAGCTTCACATTTTTCTTAATAGCATAGTGAGAGATTGCAAGCACAGCCATTCCCAGACACTCGTTTTCAATTTCATGAACTTCTTGATCATTTTTAGGGTCACGGATTGGTGCCAGTCCCTTCACTAAATCATATTGACCCTTAATAGGAAACAAAAAGAAGAAAAAAACGTTACTTCATCTGGCATTTGTCATACTAACAGCCAATGGCACAACGAAAGAGTCACTCAAAAACTGAAAGTCGAGACAAGAAGAGGCAGGGGAAGAGGGTTGTGCAAGAGATGCCATCTTCTCTCAGACCAGTCAATGTAGGCAAGAATAGTCACTCCACAAACCTGCCACTTTGAGAAAGATCAACCTTTATGCCTTACAGCAGTGCTTTACGATTATTGTTTGTGGAACAGGTGGAATCACCACGTGTGTCATCTCCTCTCATCCCCAGCACTTAGGCTTTCCACCAAGAAAGTGTGTAGACTCCCATGCAGAACACCTGCACTGCTCAGAGACCCTTCCAAGCCCCCTTTCCTTTACACAGAAATTCACTTTTCCTTTTTAAATTAACTAAAGCACACCCTTCTAGCACCATCATTATATTTTTTCTGTATGCAATGAATACTTTCCCTCTCTATTTTACCTTTCCTTCATCACCTAATTCTCCCTGTGAACTCCATGCACTCATTCTTCAAGCCACAGCTCAAAGCCTTCAGACAGTCAGAAACATACATGGTCATCAAAGCACGCAGACATTTCTGTGCCTTTGACTAGCATGAGCACTTTTCTATTTGCTCTTTTTAGAAAATGTGGTGACCAATGGTAACACTCAGCCTGACACAATCTTGTCTGGAAATATTCATTACTTCACGCATGTTGTAGATTCACAACAGAACAATGAGTGTTTGCTGGAGCAGCTCCATGCCATCTCACTTCTGAAGGACACAACCGTATTTCAGTCTGAAAACTCCGTAGCTGCTGTACTCAGAACTAACTGCAATCATGTTTTTCTCCAGTGCGTTTAATTTGCTCATTTCACAAGCCTTCATCAACTTCAATCTTCCACTTCCCTTCCCATTGCCGAAACCACAGTGCCTGATTTGCAAAACCACTGGTGTGTACATAACCTTTCTTTTGATGGGGAGCACAGCTTTCTGACATAGGAACCCCATGTGTTTGGAATGAGCAGCATGCTGCCAGCAACTGGGATGCACAGCAGGAGAGAAGAACTGCACGTAGGCAGGCTGTGTGGCAGTGGCATTATGAGTCAATTTTTTAACACCACACAGTAAAATAGACTCATTAAACAGACACAATATCATAGATTTAGTAATGCTACTGTTCATCTGCTGGACTGTAGATGCCACAGTGAATAACTATTAAAAAAACAGTTAATATTAAAGGAAGTGTGCTGTAAAAACCTAGCTCTTCCTGGACTGTAAGGCAGTTACTTCACATGTTCCACATAGGGTTGGATTGTTCTTACATAGCAAATTTCTCCACAATGTGAAAGTAAACCATCACCAACAGATAAGCTTAAACATATATTACAGTTGGAAAATAGTTGTTTTTTTTTTAAGCAGAGAATTCCTACTGGATCAAATAGTTTTCAGGTGGGTGGAACTGCACAACCCCCTGCATGCAACTCTCTACCTGTGCAAAGATGTATTCCAATGAGTTTGCATCCAGGATTGGGGTTCCTTCCGGCGCCAGCTTCTTGTCGTAAGAGTTCTTTGACTTCTTTGGGGTATGCCTCCACACTGAGGGTTCGTTTTCACTAGTCCCATGCCAGTTTGTGAAGTAGTATCTTGCAAGAAAAAGAAGGATGAACTTTAAAAAAAAAAATGGGGGAAAATCCTCTATTTACATTGGATACCGATTTTAAACCTTCAGAAGAAAATCAGGTACACATCAAAACCCTTCTGCCTCAGTGTAAGTCAATATGCCTCTATTGAGCACGGTTTGGTGTTTGCATTCCAAGATAAATGGCTCAGCTGAAGGATCAGCAGGGTTCCAAACCTCCTCCTCTATGGACACTGAGCACTTACTTCCCTTTGGGCTGCAGCTGGAAGCAGCCATGCACTGGGATTTCTGCTTCCCTTTGGCTGGAATGGAGATGGTGAAAAAGAAACTAACTCCAATCATCCAGCTTTTAGGTTACACAGTCAATCTTGTACATGTATTGCAAATAAGCTTTTTACTCATATCCACACACAAAGCTATTTAATTAAAAACCTGCTAAAAGAGTTGGCATCTGCTGCAAATGAATGAAATTGTTGAGATCAAGCCTCTGTTAGAGGCTGTTGAAACATCTTTGCCTGAATTACCCCAGAAATCTGTTTTTCTCTGGGTTCTACTGAGATCTTAAATCAAGTGAACTTTAGTTAAATCTGGTTTGAATCAATGTGCTTTCAGGAGAGTTCATGCCCTGCGCACGATGGTGACGTACTTACAATTAGAAGGGCAGAGCAGAGCAGATTACTCAGCTCTAAGTAGGAAGGATTTCAGTAAGAATATGCCACTCTCACTCCAGAGAAGTACTCAGCAGTAATCAGAACAAGCAGTGCAGAAGGACTTACTAATACAGTGGGAGGTGAAAAGGAGACATTCATAGAATCCTGGAATGGCCTGGGTTGCAAAGGAGCTGTTGCATTTGCATCTGGCTTTTGGTGGTTTACGTGTATATGTATGTGAATTATATAAGCAAGCATACTTGTAAGCATGCAAACAAGCATCTGCTCATGAACAGGTGCTTCTGAACTCTGGTGGTGTGGCTGCAGTGTGCCAGCACCTAACTCATGGAATCACAGCATGGCCTGGGTTGCAAAGGAGCACAACACTCATCACTTCCAACCCCTGCTGTGTGCAGGTCGCCAACCAGCAGCCCAGGCTGCCCAGAGCCACATCCAGCCTGGCCTTGAATGCCTGCAGGGATGGGGCATCCACAGCCTCCTTGGGCAGCCTGTGCCACTGCCTCACCACCCTGTGTGAAAAACTTCCTCCCAACATCCAACCTAAACCTCCCCTGTCTCAGTTTAAAACCATTTTTCTTTGTCCTATCACCATCCACCCTTGTAAACAGCCGTTCCCCTCCTGTTTATACGCTCCCTTTCAATCCTGGAAGGCCACAATGAGGTCCCCCTGGAGCCTTTACTTCTCCAAGCTAAACAAACCCAGTTCCCTCAACCTTTCTTCATAGCAGAGGTGCTCCAGCCCTCTGATCATCTTAGTGACCCTCCTCTGATTCCTGATGCAGTGACCACAGCCAGCTTCATATAATTTCACCACCACCTCCTGACAACAGTTTCTAAAGCTTTCAAAGTCTGCCTAAATGTGTGATTAACAAAATCATAGGGAACTTGAGTGACCAATCCAAGGAAGCGTTATGGAGTAAAGGCACTGTATTGCGTTTTTGTCCTTTCTTTCTTTTTTATAAGTCTTTTTAAGCCCCATTAAAAAAAGCATACATATATAGCACTGGCAAGAACACCAATACACAACTATGCCAAAAACTCCCAACAAGGACAGCAAGGCACTGCAGAAATCCTTTGGTTCAAGCACAAAAAGCAAAGGAAAGAAAATCTCTGCCTCCAGGAAGTTTGTTTTCACATGCTCCTTTATGAGATGAAAGATCATTAATAATTCAAATTCTTTTGGTATTTCCTGAAAATAATTAAGGGCAAAGTTACGTGTACTGTTTATAACTGAGTGGAGAACTTATTTCTTTACTATTAAATGTCTTAATCGATTAAGACAACACTTATAAGTTGCAATAAAAATTTCCCCATTGTTTGTGGAACCATATAAACAAAGCAGGAGAGTCTCTGCCTTGAACAAACTGATGGTCTTGTGATAAAGAGGACTTTATTCCACTTTCACAACTAGAAATGGGAGCACAAGCTTCCAAATTCAGTTCTGCAGAAGACCTGGAAAGGAGATCTAAGATCCATTCAGTCTGACCAAGGAATGCTCTTCTCTTTCTTCTCTAGTGACTCTGAGGACTCTTTTTTCCCACATTTCCAACAACAAATGCCAGAGGTCCCTTTGGCATGCCAAGCAACGCTGCTACCACTGGCTTAAACAGTGTCCAGCTATGAGATAGTTAAACTCCTCCATCAGCCTGTGTGCTAATGAGGCAGGATGTTACAAAATACTGTGGTTTCTTTTGTTGTAGATTCCTTTTTCACTTGATGCAAGTGAAAGAAATATAGGGCTTGTAGCAAAGACTGCAGTGAAAAAGCAAAGTCCTTTAAAACAAAATGAAAAGTGTATCAGTGGGCATGGATTTAATGGGGAGAGGAGGGTGGGAAGTCCACGCAAGCAGAAACCAAACATCACGCTTTCAGCAGTGGAAGAGAAATCTAACACCTAAAAGCATTTCAAAACGCTGAGTCACATACCTTCATTTTAGAGATATATAATATTAATAGAACTTGGCTAAATCAGATCTATCAGTGTGATGGCAGTTCGGAAACGAGGCTGTCCCCATAAAACTGATTTGTCTCTGAATGACTCTACACAATCTGATACGTTATTAAAAAATCCCAAGCTGCATCCCTTTCTCAAAAGGAATTTTGCCTCTCGCAGAGCTCTGAATAAACAATATTCACACAGAGAGGGTTCACAATCCTGTGCTGTTCCTCAGGTCTCAGTGCTCAGCCCTACCCTGCTCAGGTGCCAAAGCACACAATGATCATAAACGAAAGAAAGGAAAACCCCATTTCACCAATGCACTGCAGCACTGCTGGGCAGACTGGAATATTGAGATTTTAGCACCTTCATTTACATAAGCTCTTTCTAAAAGCATATGAAATTACTTTTAATACAAATTATTGGCCCAAAGTTTGCCTATTTTCATGCATGAAGTACATCAGACAGATGAGAATCCCCTGCCAAACTTCAAATCCCAACTCCAGAGCTTAAAAAAACCAAACCACCATAACTACAAATGCATTTTCCATGGCTTCGTTCTGTGTTAATTTAGAATTAAAAACTAAAAAGATCCAGAAAATGAAGTTCAGTGTCAAGTAATTCTGCCCAGGTCATTAACATCTGATAAGGCTGTAACATCTGCAGTGCCAATGCAAGGACCTGGAGCGAGTACTGCTTGCCCACCCGAAGCAGAAGCATGCCAACACCAGACACAGCAGAAACCATTTAAGAATTAAGGTAATCAAAGCATCGAGTTCCTAATCACAGGATTAAAATATATTTTTTTTTCTTTTGCAGAGCAAAGCAGACCGCATCAAAAATTTCCATATCAGGGAAAGCATCCCAGGTCCAGATTGTACCAAGAATCGTTTTTATCATCAGTATACTGTTAATCTGACTGCTCCTAAAGCAAGAAAGTGCACTTAATGCTCTGTATGAGGGCATCAGAGTCCTCCCAGCTTTCTTTAGAGTCACTCAACCCCATTATTGTGTGCTGTTTATCTGCCAAACTTAATCACAGCTGTTTAAATCCAAGATAAACTGAGATTAAGTCATTAATGCTGCTAATAGACAGTGGTACAGAAAAGGAAAAGACAAGAGTGTCCTTTTCCTGTTTTAACATAGGTATCAGTACCATCGTTATTTGAAAAGCAAAGATCTTTTTGTTAACTGTGGGTAATTTCTCCCTGTAACAATTCATCCAACAATAACAACAATTCTGGCCTAGCACAGATTGCAATCAGCAGTGGAATACCTCACAGTTAAAAGACCATGATGACAAAGCTCTCTGCATAAGGGAAGAGCTGTTATCCTCCAACAAGCCTAGAGAACAGTTTAGAAGCCTTCAATGGCTTCATGCAACAGCTGTCATAGTGCTGCTTCCACTTTCCAGTGATGAGGACTAGAATACACATTCTGCCCCACACATCTCAGCAAAGTATGTGCTATACTTCAAGATCAACTCCTGAAGTTCAACCTGATGGTACACATAAAGGACAAAGATCCCACCAAAAAGGGTTTGGATTTTCTGGTGCTTTCTGCAGTCTAATAACTGCCACCCCCAGTCAGGACACATGGATTCCCCTACAGCCCTACAGGAGAACATCAAAAGTGACAGCACGTTGCTCTCTCCTTTCAAGTTAATAGCAAAATTCCCATTGACTTCAGCAGGAGTACGGTTCGTTATGAGTCCTTCAAATGGAAACAGAAACATACAAAATACTAACATGGTAAAACAACATTTCTGACCCTTTTATTTTTTTTTTCCTCTTCAGTCACCTACAGGTTCATGAATATGAGTTCTTGTGGTTTGCAACTTCTGCTGTGTTTTCGAGGTTATATCACAAAGATGAAAAAAAAATAATCAGGAGACGTTTTAAGCTTTTCTTGTTAATTTTTTATCTGTGGTGTGAAGGACAAGCTGTCGCTTTTGGTTTTGCTTTTCAGCTTCTTCAGTGAGCTCAGTAGTATGAGTAAGAGCAACTACGTATTGTTAAGAAAACCCATGGTCATTTTTCAGACATTCTGCACTTACCTCATTCGATAATAGAGCCGATGCGATGTCTTTTCGTCTATCTTAAAGACCTGGTTTGGTGCATACCAGAGCTTTCTGTTCTCATCAAACAGTGCAAAGAGATTATGGCACAGAGGAGATATGGCTGTCAGAGGACAGTAAGGAAGCATGTCAGTTCACAAGGCTACAAACTACATGCACACTCCAAAAAAAAATGCATCTGATTGTGCAACCTATACGACACAAAGAAACTGACACTGGGATGAGCTTAAAGCAAGCATGAGAAAGACATGACTAAAGGGAAGATGCAAACCGCATACTGGCTGACTCCACTGGTTCTCAGGTATGAAACAGTCTGACATTTCAGCTATTCCTAGCATGAGACTTATGCTGAAGTTGTGATTTTGCTGAGGCCCAATGAGAAGAGAATGAAGAGAAGTCTTAAAAAAATTCATCTTTTCCAGATCACAGAAATGGGTGTGAAATGGGTAGAAAACTACAGCTTTGTTCTCAGTTTCACTTGATTAATAAATTCTGCTCCCATCACTGATAGAGAAGATTCTAGGGAAATATTCAAAATTGCTTCTCACCAGCAAAGAGGCACAAAGCGTAACGTGTCATTTTTCCATTCACTGCTAATTCAGCAGAGGGATTTCCAACAAGGAACAGACTCTAACTGGTAGGTCTAGGCTGACCTGCGTTAACCTTTGCATTTACACCACCACAGAGAGGAGCAGGTTATGGTTTCCTTACAGAGGTACAGCTGTTTCCATTCCTTGCTCCTGTTTCCTGTTCAGTAAGAGGCAGTGCCTTTGTGCAAAAGCCCTGTCTGGGCAAGCAGCTCTGCTCCACGCATGTGCCTACGTGCCTTTCTGAATTGGTGCCAATGGCAGAGTCCTACAGAGCTCAGTGAAACCATTTCTGTTTCAAATCGAGGAGAGAGAGATCAAAAGCGAAGAAGATGAGGAAATCAAATCTGAATAACCTAATGGTGAAGCTGACAGCAGGTGGGGCTGGGCAGCCACAGCTTTCTGCAGGCCAACCAGCAGCATGCAGATGCCAGCAGAGGTGTAACTACCCAAGCTGCAACTTACAGCAGAGACCAACATCTCCAGCTTGCTGCAATGGGTAAAACTTTTGTATCTTACAGCATCTGCTGTGGATTTAGCAAAGGCCAAGAAGAGGCAGACTGAAGTTCCCTTAAGGAAAGCTCACCTAACGTCACTTCTTTAAAGGTTTTAAATTTCTGACAGAAATTACTGGCAGCAATTGCACAGCCTATGGGTTCACAGCTCTATAAACAGCAGCAGCTCATAGCTCCCACGTGCTGACACAAACAGGTGTGCCTTAAGCTGTCCTCTTTTTCATTAAAACTATTCAAAAGCAACATGAGGACTTATTTGATGAGATCTGTCCTTCAGACTCCCATCATTCCTCTCGTTGGAACGGAAGAGAAGTAACTAGGGAAATAAACTGGAGGATACTCAGTGTCAGAAGAACCAAGGTGACATGGGAAAGGAAAACATTGGAAGCTGCATACGCCCAGAAGCAGGCAGGTAGCCTGTTTGTATGGCCAGCTTTACCACTCCCAGATCACTGAATAGTAATTGGTGTTCCAGGAAGCCTGGGGAATACAACATTTGGACTTGGGGGAAGGAGGAATGACAGAAAGGACCTCAGGATTGCAAATATAAAAGCACACTAGAACCTAGATTCATAAGGTTTAAACATAGATTAAATCTGCTGATTCCAATTGAATAATGAAACACTATTTTGCTGGGTCAAGGAACACAGTGACAAAGCAAGACGTTTTCATTATACATTTCTGTATGACCACAATTGTACAGAGTTCAGAAAACTTCACTGGTGAATTATTAATTCTATGGATATTGTAACTCTACAAAGGAGTGTTAGGCAATAAAAGAGAAAATTAAAACTGGGAAAGCAGCAAATTGATGTCTTTTCTCTCATTAGCCCTCTCCAAAATAACATGGAACACTTACTAGCTAGTGTCATAAGTAAAAACATCTTTATGTAACTTATTTGCATACTGTGTCCTCCTAAAGGAAGCCTGATTCCATCCCACTAAAAGAAAAAAATGCCAGTATCTGCCAGAAGCCAGGCTGGGAGATAATCATATTACATGAATCTCAGGAAAGTCTCTGCCATCTCTTCTACTCTGCACAGTTTAAGAACTGCCAGAGCAGCCCTTGGCAAAGATTTCCATCCTGAACAATACACCACGCATGTTTGTCCTATGATCACTGACTTATGCTCAGAGAAGGATGCATCACTTGTAATACTGTCAGCCTTGTCATTGAAAACTCATACAAAACCCATATACTCACAGCACTTCTGGGCAGCTTCAATGCACAGCTCCTCCGAGGTAAACTCGCCACTGGTGTAACAAATGGGGCTTTTATCTTGCAGGTAGAAAAGTATTTCTAAGCCCTGATGCTGAGCTTCCAGGTTTACTTCGCTCTTCTTTGTGCTCCTCATTTTTGCACAGAAAGCCATGGCTTTGCAGTCTTCTTTTACATTTAGATACTGAAAGTAGAGGAAAACCAGTTAAAGAAAACACTATGAAGGAGAGTGTGATTGATTTGGCTCCATGCTTCTAGTTGTTAGCTCAGTATGCAAGTACTCCATATTAAACAAAAAAAAAAAAAAAAGAAAAAATGTGACTGAAAATAGACTATTTAGGTCACAGAATGAATAAAATGCAATTCATAGATAAGAGATCGCTGAAAGGCAAAAAATTCAGAGCTAAGTTTGGCTCTAAGTTTTGGTTCATCCTTATTTCTTGTGAAAATCCTTGTCAGTACACAAATCTGGTGCTAGTGAACACTGTGACAGGGAAGGCAAAGCATTTCTCGAGCTTCTCATATCAGTAACCCAATTATTCAAAACCAGCACTTTTCAGAAATGAGGGGAAAAGTGAAGCAAGAAATCTCAGTAGTTATTCTGTTTCTGGTAACAGCTTAAGTTCTGGTGGTTCCACAGCTATTCTGCAAGGTTTATTTTCTTACCATAAAGCAGGAATAACTTTCACATCCTTAAGCACCTAAATGACTGGAAAACAATCACTGACTACTCCAGGCTGGCTGATACAAACAGTACCATGAACATTTCCCTTAAAAAAAGTTACCTTCTGTTTTTACAATCTGCTCTAACATGCAAATATTTCTGAAAGCTTTCTCCCCTCTCACCTTTTGTTTTTTATTTTAATACACTTGAGATACCACAGTGAAACGGGCTTTTGCTGGAGAGCTGTTTTTATAGTTACTTCTCCCCCCCAAGTGGGTAAAAGTAGCACCAAGGAGGTTTAATGCCATCCCTCACACGCTGCCAAGAAGGATCCAAGGGAGCTGTGACTCGAAAGGAAAGGCGCGTGGCATTTTGTGTCTGGTACTTAAATAGAAAGAGCAGAACGGAGCTGGGTGACCACAGACTTCAGCTATTATGGGGTCCGTGCTCCCCTTTTTACTCAACTTTAGCTCAATCCGTAACAAAAGCCCAAACCACCAATTCTGCAATTTACAAACATAATCCTCCCACCGAAAACCAAGCAAAGCCAAACCTCAGAAGCCAACACACCTGCATTTATGTGTCTGTCTGATCCTCAATGTGGCTGAAACAGATTATCTTCACGCTCTCCAAGAGTAACTCGTGTCTGGCTGGGAAAAAACAAAGTCAGGAATTAGTTTGCACAGTATTTGAGGCACCAAATACACCATCAGGCTGACAAAAAGCCACTTGCAATCAATTCAATGGGATCTTTCCATTAATAGACTCAAGTCTGGTTGAGCACCTAGGGGTGCACTCTGCAGCCCATGTAAATCTGCTCACTTCTTTTGCCTCTTTGGATGCACAGATTGAGAGGCAAACAAACCCAGGGTGAAAGCCTCAACCACTTTAATATCTTTTCATATTTTCAGAGCATCAGCAATCTGTTTGGTGCCATACCCATGGCAGCCCTCAGCCGTGACTCAAAGGAGCATTTTTCCCTTAGCTTCATGGCTTGACAAGTCACTTCCTTCTTCCTATTTGTAACTGAACTCTAATTCATTGTAACTGGTAACTCTAATTCACTCCCAGCCCCTCCTTCCAAAGTATTGGGTTTTGTCCTTTATTGTTTTACTCTCCTTTGGCCTGTGGAAGATGCAGAGCTCTGGCCAAGTGATGGAGGATGAGGAAGTATCAGAGCAAGGCTGGCATCTCTCCTTGCTCACATGGGACACTGCAGTAACTCCCGTGCCTCTGGCAGCAGAAACACCTTCCTATAGTTTTTAAGCCTTTTCTGAGACTACAAACAACCTCAGTACTCCGGAGCTGGCTTGCAAAACTACTCCCACCCAAAGTTACAGCTCACTGCTACCACCTGAAGCAAACCAGGGAAATATCAACCCATCCGTGCCATTTTAATGCTAAATTTAAGGTTCCATGCACATTTTCTCAGCAATGATACAGAGAAGAAGTAATTGAGAGTGTGATCACTGGAACATGCAAACAAGCTGGTAATTATTTCTGCACAGCACCAGAAAATTTCAATGCAAAAGCTCGAGAACGGAGCTGCAATCTAACTGAAAATACTCCCTTTTAAACAACGTATCTGACAATTGAAACTCACTGTATTTTAATGTCTGTGTGGGCACAACATTACAAAGATTGCCTAGAGGCTTTAAAATGTGAAGGGAAATGTAAAACCGCTGCCTTCTTGCAGATCCATAAATCTAAACTGCTTTTCAACACAGCGTTCTTTGGGTTTGCTTAATAGCTGGTGCTGCTTCCCAATCACGACAGCGATTCCCAGAACACAAAAGAACCATAAGCACTGCTTCATCCCAATACTCTTCAGAGGACAAAGAGAACAAACCAATGTCCAATTTCCAGCTTGCTGTTTACCAACAAGTCTTCTAGATAGTCTTGCATTCAATGCCAGGAATGCATCTTATAACAAATGTATCCTAGAGTGTCCCACAAGTCTCCATTGGGATGCTGTGTTCCTTCTCTGAGCAGCAGCACATCCCCAGCCCCAGGCATTAACCCCCACCAAACTCTCCCCCTCGTGCTCTGCTGGTGAGCTTAGGACAGCAGCCCTCCCAGCCCTCATTTTGGTTCACACCATGCCCTGTGGGTCTCATCCTGCACTGCAGCTCCATCTCCCAGCAATCCCCACAGCAAAAGGCTTCTCTGGCCATTGGAAATGCTGATCGGTGCATACGTACACACTCACCACCTGTGTGAAATGCCCTATTTTGGGGGCAGCACAGCAAGGAGAGCCAATTCCCAGCTCGGTGCACCCACCAGCACAGGGAGACAACAGTTTGTCCTTCTCATGGGGTGATCAGCCATATGTGTGTGCACAAACCTACAGAAAACACCACAGCCGCCCAATGCCAGCACTGACATCTCATTTCTTTGGACTGGGTCATCAAGCAGCCTGGACCCCACACAAATCTTTTTTTCCTCATATACAAATGAGACCCTCATAAAATTTTGCTATCACGTTGCTCACAATTGGTTTGCTTCTGGTCTTAAACGTTAAGACAAAGAAAAACTGACAGCTATCCGTTGAGAAATTCTGGTTCCTCTCTACAGCTTGCTGCAGCCAATTCTCCTCAGTGCACCAGAACGGTTCTAGCCCAATATTCCTGGCATTTCTAAGGAAAAAAAGACAAACACACAACACTTGAATAACTACTTCCAACCTCTGTACGCCTCAAAGGTCAAGGAAAGAAAAGGGAAATAAATACTTTGAGTTTGACCCTGAGCAGAAGATGTCCACATGCTGGCATGGATGGGGAAAAGCCACAACATCTCCTGCCAAGCTGACATGTTCTGTACCCGGCGAGAGCCCACACCCTATGAAAATACCAAGATGCACAAGAAACCTTTCCCTTGAATAAGGAAAATGAAGATTAAATTGTCAGCTGGGAAGCGCTTCAAGATGTCAGACACCACAACCAGCTCTAAGCTCCAACGGGCATTAATAAATCTCATCCCACAGGAGTTCAAAGAAAACTGTAGATTCCCATAGCTCCGGCTTCCTACGTTAGCAATAGACTTGTAAATCTAAGACTGGCCCGGGCAAAGGAAGCAAATGAAACCCCCACAGGCTTTGAGAAGTTACCCACCCAGCTCACATCCACACCCAAGCGGAGGCGAATCTGTGTCTGAGACGCGCTGGGCTCAGAAACTCAGGTTTGCTTCCTACACATTTCGGGGTGCAAACAGGACATGGAGTGCCTGTTTCAAGGCAAAAGTCTCTAAAATGCTAGGAATGGAAAATCCCAGATAGCATCTGCCTAAACCAGAACCAGTTTTGTGCACCATTTTTACGTTCTTCCTCTTTTTCTCTCTCGCAGCCCGTTTAGTTTCTTGTTTCATGAAAAGGACACTGCAGGGGATGTTTATGGTTGCTTATGCTCGGAAACCAACACGTAGGCTTTCCTCAAGTGAACAGAGTGTGCCATTTTGTAGTAATAATAGTTTATGTCAGCTGGAAAGTTCTCAAATTCTTCTTTTCAATGCAGCAATAAAGAACCAGAGCACAGGCTGTACAGCACAGAGCATCCTCCTCATACAGCACAAGCTATTAGATTGCTCTACATGACACATCTAAAACAATCCCGGGCGCTCTGCTTAACCACAAGGATAAAGGACACAGGACAAAAAGCAATGATCATGCAGCACATTAAAATCCCAAATCTGGGTGTCACGCCATGCTCCCTGAGCAGCCTTTGTCCTGCAAACACTCCCAACTCCCCTCGGGTTTTTCTGTACCATTCATTCTGTGATATGACTGATGTATGTTGGACATTTTGCTTTAAACATCGGGTTGACGGAGCACAGGGAGGAAATTTTCAGCAAAAAGTTAACGTTAACGTGCAGCAAAGTTCTTAGAACTAAAAAACAAGGTGCCCACCATCGGGTGCATCGGCCAGCCTTTGCTATGCACACGCTGACATTACCAGATGTTCTGTATTTCCATTTTCGGCCATCTGAACAGCAGAGGCTGCTGACTCCTATCGTGTTCACATCATAACTCCTTCAGACCAGACCGAGCGCTTTAAGAACCCACTCAGTTCACCGTCACACTGAGAACCAGCCGTGCTCATTTCCTGTGCTCTTCCAACTCAATTTCAACAACTTCTCTGAATTCTGTGACCTCACGTACGTGGGAAGAACTTTTTCAGCTCACCCATAAAGCTTTGTGCAAGTTTACCACTGCTATCGTCCTGTCTGTAAGTGCTGCTGTAGATGTGTGTGCATGCACACAAACCAAGTCACATTTTCTCCCCTTCCAGCCTAACAATCCTTTGGACAGCCAGTGGGCTTCTCCTAGCTGGGCTGGTATGGAAGGAATAGTGAATATAGTGTTTATAGCTTGCTTCTTCTAAAACGTAGACGTGTATTAAATCCTTTCTCATCCACTGTTTCTGGTGAAGTAACAACTTTAAATTAGACAATTTGTTATTATATCCTTTTATTGTGTTTTATTAAACACCTCTCACCTAAACCAGTATCGCTTCCATGGAATCACAGAACGCCTCAGGGTGGAAGGAACCTTACAGATCATCCAGTTCCAGCCCCCTGCTGCAGACAGCACTGCCTAGCAGCAGATCAGGCTGCCCAGGATCCCATCCCACCCGGCTTCAGGCAGCTCCAAGGATGGAGCATCCACAGCTTCTCAGGCCAACGTCACTATGCTCTGGGTAAAGAATTTCCTCCTAACATCTAACCTAAATCCCCTAAATTTTAAAGCTATGCCCCTTGCCCTATCATTATTAGACCATAAAAAAAATAAAAATAAAAAAATCAGTCTCCCTCCTGCTGATGAGCTCCTTTCAAGTACTGGAAGGAATTCATATCAAATTTTGACCCACCTTGGAAAGGTACTACACAACTACATAAGTTTTATGTCACTACTGTGTAGCCAATACTTCCAAACTTTATACACACAAACTAGATAAAATTCTCTATTTTCTTCCCATAAACCAATCACTTTTAAAAAAAAAAAAAAGAGCTTTATTACTAAGATTGATGCAAATGGAACTGGAGGGGGATTCCAGGCTGAAAGAGGATGGACAGCTTGTTATTATTTCTGCCTGGGGAATGACATTAACAATCCCTTTCCTACTCTGTGCTTCTTCCCTGCTGCTCGCTGCTGTCCCTCTGTCTGCACCTCTCAGAGGTGATGGAAGCACTCTGGCAAGGAGCCACACCATCTTCCTAGCAATGAAGCACATCTTCAGGAAACTCAGCCTCTTCCTGGTGGCACAGCACTGATTGAAGGGGTTTCCTGAAGTTCAGTTCTGATGCGTGGAAAAGCTTGCATGAAAATCAGTTGGCGTGGTAAATATCTCCAAATCTATGTTTTCTGGGGTGAGCAAGTGGTAAGGGTGTGCTGCAGAGGAGAACAAACTGTAGGTGTTGCACAGATCTGCCAGAAAGACAGGAGTGGAAATGAAGAGAGAAAGAATGGAAGAAAAGCCACAAAAGCCCATTACAGCATTCCCTCCGTGCCAGCGGAAAGACTACAGGGGCCAAGGTCACCGTGCAGCTCTCTGCTGTGGGTGTCAGGGCATCTCAAATGTAACGGGGGGGCAAAGGGGGGACTCAGTGTCCAACAATGTGCTGGGACTTTTAAAGACCTTCAGCACCTCCCTG